ATATCGATCTCAATAAGTTAAAGTTTGGACCAGTTGAAAATAGACGTGTACAAATCACTTTCACGTAATTTTTTATGCTACACATTTCATGATGAATCCATGTCATTTGGTTATGTTAGGATGAGTAATCATTGTTGGTTTTAGTTGCGATGATGCAATAAAAAGCTGGTTTGGTTCTATATCCTGATATGATTAATAGACATGACTTTTGGAGTATGCTAAAGGAATATAATGACAATTTTGAACTCATAAAATATAACACATTTGTAAGGTTGTAAGGACATATATATTTGTGACCAGTGGGAGATTGTTGGCAAAATTTGAGTCATGTATATATGATACATAATTTAAATGTGTTAGGGTCATTATTTATTAAGCCAAATAATAAAGTGATCTGACTAAATTAAAGTTTTTGCTAAAGGCATATGTCATGAAAACAAAATTGTGTAGAGACCATTGAACAATTTCTAATTTGATGAGGGGTCCAATTAGAAATACTAAAACTTAAGTAATTAACCTAATTCTGGTTATTTTAAGGGGTCGTGGTCCCCTTCTGGGAGCACATAGACAGAACATAAGTTTTATTTCTGTTCATTTTTTTCTATCCCCATCAAGAGAGAAAATCAAGAGGGAAATACAGGTGCTCTTCAGGTGGAAGACCATAAGATCAATACAGATGCTTCTACAAAGACATCATCATTATGGCTAATTCAAGTACACTTTCGCATTCGATTTACAACATATTTATCATATATTTATCAATATGAGATTATGTTTATGTTCGATAGTTAAAATTAAAATCAAGATTATTATTATTATTATTATTAATTCTCCAATGTGTTCCCATTCTCAACCACCTTATGTTCTTATTGACAAATTTCTTGAATATTTATAATTTATACAAGACAGAAATAAGATGTGACCAGTGAGAACACATATAGTTTAAACAAAAGATAAGCATATGGTTTGAAAAATTAGATGTCGTGTACCGGGGCAATAATGGTAACATCAAATGTTGAAGTGCGAAATGGCAAGATACTTGTACGTGGTGGCACAGAGAGATGGAGATGGTTGAGCAAAGACAAGACATCGAGTAAAGTCTGGTTTGGATTCTGACAGTAAATTCCAATAAGCACTTCCTTATCTAAAACTGTTCTTGTTCCACACAATCATTTATGGACACTGTTGTTGAATTCACACACGCCTCTCTCTTTTGATTTTCTTGTTACGGTTCGAAAATAAATCCAATTGGTAGTAGGTTGAGGTTCACTAGTTTAGTATGTATTTAAATTATATTAAATGATAAGTAATGTAAAATTTTTAATACGGCCCTTCAAGTCTGTCGACCTAGGTTTAGGTAGAAGGTACTTTTCATTCCAATTGCTAAATTTTGATTCTGATATGATATTAAGATTTTAAGCTAAAATCAATTGACAATAAGTAAAATCATATATTTAAATCATAACAAAGGAGAAGTAAGCGAAGTGTACTTTCAACGGCACTTTCACACGTTCTGTAAGTTGTTTCACATAGTTTACTGCTTCTTCACGTACCACACTGGCCTTGTCTGTCTGAAAATATGTTTAATTCATGAATCATGAAATAAAAAAGGTGCGTGGTAGGATGTTCTAGGATATCTTTTGCACAAACAGTGTCACAACACAAAAACAATGAATATATATTTTTATAACTTTTACAAAAACAGCTGTGTCCTAAACTTTCTTCCTGGAAATAATTCTTTTGCTAGAAACATATCCTCTTCAGGAACTTGTCATGTTAGTAACTCAACAGGGCAACAGAACCTACCTTCTTCAACCCAGGAATGATGGTTGAAAGTTCTCCAATGGTCTTAGTAAATTCCTCTCCTTTTTCTCTCAGCCAATATGTGATTTTGTGCACTTGTTCCTGGGATCGTGTTTTTGCTCTCTGCCATGCTTTTAGAAGAGTGGTTTTGATTAGGGTTATCAAAAGACAAAACACAACCCGTTGGAAATGAGAAAGGTTTCAACTTCAAGTTGCTTTGAAGGGAGGAAGAAGAGGGATTGGTTTTGGGAGAGAAAGTTGGTTGCTGAACAATCATGTCTTTCAGCGACTCTTCTTCGTTGCATGCAATGGATCATGTGGCTTTGGTTGAAGAAATCATCCATGTCCTATAATTAACAAATGAGAAAAAAGAAAGGTAAATAATGTGCGTTTTATTAGTTGATGAGAAGCTTGAAATGTACACTAATATAATGATGAGTGTGTAATTACCCATTGAGAAACCAAGTTCTCTCATGAATCCTCCATTATTAGCATAAGTGGCTAAGGCTTTGACCACACCACAACCCACAGAGTTGAAAAGAGAATAATAGGTGGGGCGTGGTCGATAAAGCAAGTATACATTGTAATTTAAACAACAGTTTTATATGTACCAAAGAAAAATTAAAAAAAAAAAAAAATTTTGAATGAAATGGATTTATGGTTTAAATTTGTCTGTACATCTTTCTTTCTTAGGTCCATAATAAATTTTAAATTAAATGATATTTTTTATCTTTTATTTTATTTATAACTTTCAATCTGTAAATCTATCTTTTAAAAAATATTTTGGCCTTTTATTTATAAATTTGTGTCCATATATAGTCTTTTTAATATATATATATATATATATATATATATATTATTTTTTATTTCAAGTATAATATTAAATATTTTTTGGCTAATTTCATGAATGAAATTGTTCTTATTAAATTCACCTTCATGGGAACTGAGACACAATACTATATTCAACTAAAAAATACCATAAAGTGAAAAATAACTTCAAAGAAACAACACACAAAAGAATTTAATATACCAATAAGAAAATCAATAGATATAATTTTTTGGTTAATTGATGTAAAACTAAAAACACTCCTCATGATATAAACCTAGGAAAAAAAAATCAACATATAACTTTCAAACCCTATTTGTTTTGTGATGACTTTCTGCAAATAAAATACATTAATATATACTTATGACTTGAAAAAAAAAACAGTACTTATAGAAATTATAATATATAATCCATGACTGAATAATTAATTGATTTGAACGATTATGCAGCTTTTAGCATCATTTACAAGTTGACCAATTCTATTTTTATTAAGTCTGACTTTTATGCATTTTAGTTTTAATAACTATTTTACATTTTATATATATTTTTTTACATCACTTATTCATCAATTTATTCTTTCTCTTTCACTCACTATTTTTTAATATTAAGATATATTAAAGATAATATTCAGTGTACATAGAAGACACTCTTTATGTTAAGAATTAGCTTTTATAACTTAATTCAATCAAACTCAAATTTTAAATGATTAACTTAGAAAGAGAAAATTATGAAAAAAAATCAAAAGTAAAAATTAATTTATGCATAAATATAAAATAAAATAATACATGAAGGAAATTCTACCCATTAACTTTTGCATAAATTAATTCTTTTTATAAAGAAACTAATTTAGAATTTTTTTCACACTCCTAACTTATGAAAAAAGTATGGTTCTAATAGATTATATATATATATATATATATATATATATATATATATATATATATATATATATATAGTGTGTGTGTGTGTGTGAAGATCATATATACTAAATTTATTAAGTTTTTACTATATCATTTTATTTTTAAATTTTATTATATAACTAAATAATATATATATATATATATAATATAATATAATATAATATAATAATAGTTAAACTTTAAGTGTATTATAGAGAGAGTAAATAAGTTGTATTTTAATATGTAAATTTTTTGTTATGAGTTGTTTTTAAAATATGACTTATATATAATTTTTAAGTGTGATTTAAGGTTAGTTCAGAATTATTATTTTTTTTACTAAAATATTTACAAGATTTTATGTTTTATTTTTATAAATATACATTTATTAATTTAAAAATAATTAATGTTGTTTAAAATTTTGAAAATTACAATTAAAAAAAATTCTAAAAGTCCGATAATTAAACAAAAATATAAGGAATCTTTAAATTCTTTAAAAATTCAATGCTGGTGAAAGACAAGAAATGTAGAAAATTTATAATTAATGAGAGTGAAAAGAAAGCTTAAAAAAGTAATGATGGTGAAAGAGATATATAGAGGAAGAAGAATTTGAAAATTTAATATTGGTTAAATATGAGAGTAGAGACAAAATTTAAAAATTTAATATTAGTTAACATTTTTTAAATGTTTATATGTACATATATAAAGAGAGAGTAAAGAAAAGAGTAGTATAGAAGGTATGAACACACAATGTTTATAACTCATCATTTATGTTTGATTATTTTTTATATTGGGAAAATAAATTTATGCATAGCTCATTTTCTTATAACCTTTTGAATTGGACCAAATTACAACCCACTAGGATTAGATGGGCTTGAGATTTTTGTATCCAAATTTAAATGGGGCTAGCCCAACCCGTTTTTTAGCATGTTGAAGATGCATTGGGTTTATCTATTTATGAATTGAAGTATTTTTCAATGGTATTTAGATAAGACAAATAAATAGAAAATGGAACATAATATTTATCCACTGGACAAAATGAACCACTGTTAATAATAATTTATCCTATTTTAGTATACACGTTTTTTTTTCGTTTAGTTTATTTTTAAAATTATAAGATAAATCAAACAAAATTTTTGAATGATTTCAAGCATGATACATCAACTTCAAATTTAATCTATCAATTAAAATAAATTTAAATTTAAATATCTGTTTAAAGTTGTTCAAATAATTTAAAAACTTAATGAGTAATTTACGATTAAGAGTTATTTAAATTTTTAATTTACTTTTCACAACGCAACTACTGTATTCGAGAAAGAGGTTAGGTGGCAAGTGACAGGTTGTTTCCAGATTGGGGGGTTTTAAAAAGATTTATGTGATTGCCTTCTACCGCTGTAGTATCATTTCACTTCATTTCGTTTCATTTGCATTTCATTTGAGGTTTTGTTTCTCGAAGCTTCTGCACGCACAGATCCATGGCGTCGTTCGATGAAGCTCCTCCCGGAAACTCCAAGAATGGCGAGAAGATCTTCAGGACCAAGTGCGCTCAGTGCCACACCGTGGATAAAGGTGCCGGTCACAAACAAGGTATCTTACTAGCTTCTTCCATTTTACCCTTATTAACACTTAGATCTATCGCTCCAGTGCTACTTTTTCATTATCTTTTGCTTCAATCTCAACTCTCCATGCTCTCAGGTTTTGGGTTTTAGCCGGTTCGCGCCTTTTTATTGAATGTATAAATGAATTCTAGCTATTGTTGTAATTTTTCGTTGTTTAGATTTTAGAGTTCATCTGTATTGATGTTGACGGAAACTTTCTATTGTATGATTGGATTTCAGTTGGAAGAGCTAAAAAGTAATTTTACTCTCAAAGCAACTTCTTCTTTTGTTGGGATTCGCAAATTACACTTTCAACTTTAATCCGAACATAGCTCTATGTGTTAGAAACACGTTGTCAAGTCTGAAGCTTATTTTGATGTGTAATTAGTTTCGGAAACATTAAATTGTTTTTTTCGAGCCTGAACTATCAGCCTGTGTCGATTTTTTTTTCTTTCTAATTGCGTGGTTCGTTTATTAGAGATTTGGCTAGAGAGAATTAAGAGGCGAATGAATTGGTTATGTTAGAAATTACTGGGTATGCAACAAGAGTTTGATTTTTGTCCATTGTCTGTGAAACAAATTTTATACTTTCAATCAGTAAGAAATCATAGACTTTGAAGGTAATGGGTCTATGGATATACATAGGTGTGTGAGGATGATTTAAGAAAATGACACGGGTGTAAAAATATGGGTGTGTAAAATGTAATTGATTCTCACTAACTGAAGCATGTCTGTGTTAACCAACTATATTTTCACGGGTGTGTTATAAGAGGTATTATTTGTGTACTGACTGCTTTCTATGCTAGCAATTCTATAGTGCATTTTTGTTTGTATGGAAATTTACAGGGTTTGTGATTCAACTGTCAATAACTGTAATTTATATTATTATAGTTGAATCCTTATTTCTATATAGAAGGTTTCCCTGATTTCATGTTTTTTTTTTGGTAATTATTTTTCAAAATATTTTTTACGATGCTGTTAAGGATATGTAGTTGGTTAGGTAGTTTAAACTCCTTTGTTTTTTGAGAAAGGGTAGGGAGAGATATAGAAGGACAATGGACGAGATAATTAAAAATCTAAAAGGGGTCTCGTGGTGTCTCTGAGATTTTGGTTTTTAACCGAACCTAATGATGCGGACCCGTGTAGCCAGCTTCATCTAGTGGGATAAGATTTTTGTTGTTGTTATGAAACTTTTTTTTTTTTCTTCTATCCAAATAACATTTTGTGATGTTAAAATAAATCTAATGTTGAATTTCTTTCTTTCTTTTGCACAAAGCCCAAGGATTGGTCCGTAACATTTATCTCTTGTCATTCACACTTGGTCCGTAAATTTTACATTACTTATTATTTGATCCCGTAAGATTGGTTTATCTTCCAAGTCCAATTATACTTCCACTTATCTGATCGTACTGTGCAGTTATTTCTTTAATTTTCTGTTTCTTGTCTCCCCTCCATGAATAATGTCATTATGCAATATTCTGAAGAGCAAAATATTTACTCTTGTTGATACTTAGGACCCAATCTGAATGGTTTGTTTGGAAGGCAATCTGGCACAACCGCTGGATATTCCTATTCTGCTGCTAACAAAAACATGGCTGTGATTTGGGAGGAAAAAACCTTGTATGATTACTTGCTCAATCCTAAAAAGGTACAGCGTAAATTAATACTTCAATTTCAAATCTACTTCACATTATGCTACTACTTGTATAAACTTCATTTTGATATTCTTTATTTTCTATATAATTGGGGCATTGAGCTGTCAAGTTTAATGATAATGTTGCATGGTACATTGAAAATCTGTTTCTTATGTACAGATGATCGGTTAATCAATTAATAATAGATTATCAAAATGTGAAATATCCTTGTGTAACCTGTTTGGAATCATTTCATGTCACTGTATACATAATTTTCATTGAGATTGTGTTTTCTTATGTAGTCGAAGAATTGTGCTGTTAAGTTTTATGGTAATATTGCAATGAAGGGCGACAATGAAAACTTGTTTCCATCACTCTTTACTGATTTGTGCCTTCTTTTATCCTCTTGTGCAGTATATTCCAGGGACGAAGATGGTATTTCCTGGTCTTAAGAAACCTCAGGATCGTGCAGATCTTATTGCATATCTTAAAGAATCCACTGCATAATGATTAAATTTTCATACACACAGTTATGCACTGTTCTTACGAAGTTCCAGAGATTTAAATTTTCAGACATTTAATTCTGTGGTGCAGCGAGTACTGTATCAACAAATAAAGTAGACTTGATTGGTTTGCAATGCTATTTTGTTCATTTTGCATTGCTTCATAAAAAGTTGCAATATATGGGCTAATGCCCAATTAATTTAGCAGTTGAAAGTTGAAACATTGTTATTGTTATTTAATTTGCTGGAAGCACACTTTGATCTATCTTTGCTAGATAAATGATTTCTCAAATCTTAAAATATCGTACTTTGTTTTGCTTAGCTGAATGCAATGCGTATTTTATTACAATGATATATTGAGATTCAATTCCATGTGATATAGAGATTCAATTCCATGATCAGCATAGGCTTTAATTTATTATGGAGGCAGTTGCTATGTGAATTTAATTTTATGATTGGACGAGGAGTAGTTGAATATTTTTAGAATAATTACACTCTAATTTTAGAATACATTCTGAAAATATTTATTTTCATTTAGAGAGTGCAATTCAATTATTAAAGGGTTATTGATAATTTAATAATCCTGGAGGTACCACGGATATGTTTTTAAATAATCTTTTTAGTGAACGTTTCACATTAGAGGCACCTTTTTCTGGTTGACACTCAAAATGCGATGGACAATAATTCTAAATCAATGAATGTATTCAGTCAATCCCTTTAGATATCAAATTACATAAAAAAAAAAAATATACTTCTCTCCTAGTACATTGTCCATATAGAGGGACAGATTTATTATCAGGAATCCTTCTATATGAAGAAATGTAATATTAATTAACATTTAGTATCTTCCTTCATCATTTAATAAACTTATCTTTCCTTTTAAAGCAGTCTAGTCCTTGTATATATATATGTCATTTCCTTCATATGTGAAGTTATTTATTCATGTATCTTTTAATCCACCTAATTCATTAAGCATTATGTTGCCCCCACCAAAAGTAGTGAATGTGAACAACTATAATGCAGATAATAAAGTGTGAAAATGAGTGTGATAACTCGATTAATGTGACATGTTAAACTATAACTCAACAAAAGTTGCATTGAACCCAATTTTCAGATCATTGTCATGCCACAAACTGCTTGCTTTGCCTCTACTTCTGAAATGAACTGGGAATGTAGAGATTATATATGTGTGGAAATTCAACTTTAACAAACATTTTTATAGTAAAAATTGTAAACAAAACTCAAAAATTGAAGCATTTATATAATTTTTTTTCTTTTTTTGTTTAAAAAAATCAATTATCGTTTTGATTTTTCTAATTACAGGCTATGAATGGCTTTTTAAAATGAGCGATGATGTTGGTAAATGTGCATTTATTAAATTTTAAGATGTCCTATTTAAAATTAAATCAAATGTATTTATTTCATAATTATATATATTTATATATTTTACTAAAGGATATTACTTTTAAGATGTTTGATTAATCTACTATTCACCACACAAATAAGAAGCCATTGCATTATACAATTATATCTTAATTTTTTTAAAATAGTATATTAAATGATGCTATAAAGAAATTTGATATAATTAACCAATAAGGTATTATCTTAAATGATATATTAATTTACTTTTACACAATTACCTTGATCACTATAAATAATATCTTCGTTTTGTAAATTAATTGATTATTCTTATTTCCATGAAAAACATAGTTGTTAGCGTTATTTTCAAACAAAGTGTTATGTTTGGAACATAGAAGTCAATTTAAAAAATAAATTCGTAACTTTTGCCTCTCTTTCAATTTCAAACTTCAATGAAATCCATACATGGCTGTTTTACACTCAGATTGGTCCATTAATTTGAATCACTACACACATAAAAATTGGTTGGAAGAATATCTGAAAATTAGAAATTTCTTCTAAATGTTTTACATACGAGAGAAACTTTGCACTGACACGTATTGTTAGCAACTGTGATTAACTTTGTAGCTAGAGGATACTTTTTATACGAAGTGTATGTTTATCCACAATAAATTCACTGTTGTTTTGAAGACTTTTGCAATAGCTTTTAGCAATGGTGGGGAATGTACAAGATATGATTCGGATTTGCTTTTAGAATGTAGCAAAAATTAACCAGTAACACATGAACTTTCTTACTGAAAATTTGAAGTTATCGGTAAAGGAAATTACTTGGAAGAGTTAAGAGAAGTTTGATTCGGTCCCAAACAGAAATGAACCTGTCTTTTTTTTTTCTTTCTCACTGCAATTTCTGGATAAAGTTTATTCCTTTGTTTTATTTCCATGATTGCCAATTCAAATTCTTTTTTTTGCCTTTGTTCTATACATTATTTGGTAAAACTTATCAAAATTCAACTAGTGCTTTTTGATAGGATAAGGAAGTAACTACAAGAGTTTAGTTGGACTTGTGAAAATGTCTCAGAACTCCAATAAACTCTCTTTAATCTATCTCAATATATTATTTTGTTAAACTTGTCAAAATAAGCTGTTTAAACAGCTTAGCTTAGTGAATTAATTGCTCATTCAATAAGCTCTCTTCATGAGACTTCAACTGGCAAAAACAAAATGTGACAAAGAATATACCTATTGACCCACGTCGTACATGAAAATACACACATGCACATGGGATTGTGGAACCAACAGAAAGGATATTAAATGCATACTTGGTCTACTATGCCTGCATTCTGCAATCTAAAATGAAATTTAGCAAGATGACCCTCTTATGGTTTTCTTGTGATTTTGCACTTTTAACCACATCAGGGCATAGCTAATAATGACAGTAGCTAACTACTCAATACATACAACTCATAAATTAGATAAAGGGTGTTGAAAGTCCCACATCGCCTACCTCATGTCATTTGGTATGGTTTAAATACATGTTAGGCTACTCCACATATTGCCAATTGGTTTTATGTTGGAACCTTAACATGGTATCAGAGCCAAAGCCTAACATCTTTCCGGTTATTGTCATGGGCCAAAAGTTGCCCTTTAGTTGGGTCAAAAGTACCCTTTGCCTGGTCCGGCAGGCTTCGTTGGAGGGGGTGTGTTGAAAGTCCCACATCGCCTACCTCATGTCATTTGGTATGGTTTAAATACATGTTAGACTACTCCACATATTGCCAATTGGTTTTATGTTGGAACCTTAACAAAGGGGAAAGAAAATCCACCAACATATCAACATGCAAGGGGAGAAAAAGGAAAATAGAGCAACTGAGGATTATAATAAAGTCACCTATATATATAATGGGGGCATTCATGATTGATGATATCAAATTGATGATTCAATATTGATAGCACAACAATGGATCTAGGCCTTAAAACCTACGTATAACACTAACATTTATTTTAGGAACACAAGGAAAGAGATTACTTACATATTAAAATTGATTGCATGCACTAATTTATCTTTTCAATCATGCCCATCTCGAGCTACAATAAGTTCTACTATGTTATCATCATCACCAATGTCTACAGGAAGCATTATCTCATCCTCAGTTGTGAAATTATAACTCATGCCAATGGCTCTTAGAAGCTGGTATACTTCAAACATGGTAGGCCTCTCCTTAGGCATTTCTGTGACGCAGTTGCATGCAACCTTCAGAAATTGGAAAAGCTCCTGGTCTACTCCATTCCCAACTAATGACTCATCAATGACATCATGGAGTTTGGCATTGCTAGATTGCTGTGAAATCCATTCTACCAAATTTCCCTTAAAAGTTTCTGGAGCTTCGGCCACATGAGTAGGTCTTTCACCTGTCACCAACTCAAGAAGCACGGTCCCGAAGCTATAAACATCCCCTTTAAGAGTAGCCACCAAAGTTTTTGTATATTCAGGAGCAACATAACCTAAATCCCCAAACTCTCCATTCACAAAAGTACTCAAATGGGTATCAATTGGGTTCATCAATCTAGCAAGGCCAAAATCAGAAATTTTGGGCTCAAAATCAATGTCCAACAAGATGCACTTAGAGCTTATGTTTCGGTGGATAATACGGGGATTGCAGCTATGGTGAAGCCATGCTAACCCTTTGGCTGCCCCAATTGCAATTTTGAGCCTTAGAGGCCAATCCATGGTGCACACACCCGCATCAGGATGCAGTTGATCATGGAGGGTTCCATTTGGCATATTTTTATAGACCAAAAGCCTCTCCCTTTTAGCAAGGCAAAAACCTAAAAGAGGAACCAGGTTACGATGTTTGACATTCCCTAGTATAGCCATCTCAGACATAAAATCTTTCTCTGAGTGTTGAGATTCCTGCAGCCTCTTAACCATGAGTGATGTGCCGTCAGGAAGGACAGCTTTGTAAACAGTTCCTGATCTTCCAGACCCGATAATATTGTTTTTACTGAAGTTATTAGTTGCCTTCATGAGATCACTCAAGTTCATTTTTGAAATTGCCTTCTCAAACATAGAAACCTGATGTACAAATCCAGCACAGTTACACATAACATATAACAGTTCAAATTACATGAACAAAGGCTTCATAATTTAAAATGGAATTAGCACAGCAGTGTATAAAAGATTTCTTCATGTCTAATTAATGAACAATGTCAAGAAGATATATTAGTTGTTAAAAGTTATCAAATTTGAAATAAAAATAAAAATGAGAAGATAGAATATGCAGTGACAAAGTAAAGGATTTTTAAACTGTCAATCAATCATAAATCATCATGTGTGATAAGTTTGTTGATTTTTACAATAACTAATTTAAAAGTCACACCCATGATTTCTGATTGGTTGTCAGTGTAACAAATTCTAATCTATTACCCATGAAACTTTCCATAATTGAGCATATTTCTAAAAACAGATCAATCAAAGAAATAAAAGGAATATCAACTCCATGTATAATATAATTACATATGTAATAAGCCATGCATCAATATAGCTTACCTTTGTTGTTTTAGTTCCCTTTAGACTTCTTGCCCACTTGTTTCCTTCAGGGTCCTCTTCCTTCTTCCTGTAAGAAATACGGCGCACGTAGAAGAACATTCCAATGCCCAAACCTAATGCTGCAGCAGTCACACCACCAACAGCTGCTGCAGCTATAACAGCAGTGTTGCTCTTTGCAGACTTGGCCTGGCAAACAGGCAAGGGAAAACCACACAGGCCTGAATTATTTGCATAATTTTCTGCAGGAACCAGACCCTTTTTAAAGGGTGGAACCGGCCCTGTCAAAAGATTATTGGTAACACTAAACAACTTAAGCCGCGGGAGCTGGCTCAAGTTTGCAGGAATTTGACCAGTGAGTTGGTTTTGGTCAAGTCTAAGATTATTAAGATAGCTACAGTTTGCGAGGGAAGCAGGTATCTCCCCAGTAAAATCATTTGAAGATAGATCAAGAGATGTCACAAACGTAAGAAGTGTGGATATATCGGCTGGAATGGCTTGAGAGAGACTGTTAAATGAAAAATCTAATCCTGTCATGCTTGAGCAATTTTTAATGCCGCGAGGAAACTCACCCTTGAGTCCCATGTTGGACAGCTTGAGATTCAAGACCCTGTTTTCATCAGGGTGCCAACACTCAACCCCAGTGAACTTGCATATATACCCTTCTGTTCTGTTGTCGAAATCCCAGGAATGCAAATAGTTGTAGGGGTCCTGAAGTTCACTCTTTACACTTTTCAAGCAAGATATATCATTATCAGTCCCACAAACTATGTCACAGAGAATCAGTAGAAAGAAACTAGCAATAACATGAGCACTGAAAATTTGGCTACCCTCAACCATCTTAACCCAGAAGCCAATACCAAGCTATTGAGATAATTCACCACAATTTGTATTTAATGAAGCTGTAGCATAAAATCTATAGACTCCATAGCACTGCAACCCTCTAAGCACATACACACCCTGAAACACAATAAAACAAACCCCATCAACTCAATTCAGCACTTCAAAATTCCCACCAACCAAATCAACTAACCCATGAATAAAAAGCAAGAGAGAGGAAAAAAAAAAGGCAACAATTTCTCCCCCCTTTAAGAACAAAATTTAGTCTACACCAAAAACCACTGAACTAGCATAAAAAAAAACATTTTTAGAAAAACCTGAGAAACCCTTTTGACATAATTCAACACAAACATAAACAGAAGGAACCCAGATTTAAAAATCATGCCAATTTTGCCCAGAAGCATTGAAACACCCACCTCGGATATTGAGCAAGTCAACTGAGAAATAACAAGGAAACATCACTTTGCCCAAAGGAAAGGGCAAGGCTCAGGGAACAGAAGAAAAGGAAGTCTAGACTAAGAATTGTGTGTGTAGAGAGAGAGAGAGAGAATCACTGAATAGTGATGATGGGATATAAGATAGTGCGTGTTTCATGAATTGAGATGAGAACACACAAAGAGAAGATATTCACTAGTCAAACAAATAACACGCTAAGGTAATCTTTTCATTTTTTTCATTTTTTTGGACAAGTTCATAGAAGAGTAGACTATTGATGACGACGAAGACTCGGCGAGTTTATTTCTTTGACTACATCTCTCGCTTTTGCTGAAAACGAGGGACAGAAAATACTAATGGGCACAAAATTTATTTATTTGTTTTAAGTTTTACCTTTAGAAAAATATGAAAAATCAACCTATATCCTATTTCATTCCAGTGTAGTAATTTGCACAACATTTTAGATTATATTCTTGATATTACATTGTAAAAAAAAAAAAAAAAAATGGTGTATGGTATGCATGGTATGGTGAAAAATGAACATGGTTATAGAATGAAATATTTAAGTGTTTTTTTAAGAAAAACATTTTGTTTTTTTCACCATGAAAATAGAATGAAAGAGAACATGAATATATATACATATAAATAATAACTTTTAAAAATAAACTTTTATTTTATTCATAAAGATATATGATAATAATTTATGTGCCTTAGAATTCAAATATGTTATTTCTTCTCATTCCTTTCTATAAATGCAAACTAAAAACTGGACTTGATCTTCTTTACAACAAATAATTTTAAATATTTTTACATTGATGGTTTCTTTTATAAAAATACTCTTAATTGTGAATTATTGTTTTGAGTTCAAGAAATAATAATGGAATAAGGTAATATTGTATAGTATCTTAGAAAGTTGCTTTCATAATCGTTAATTAAAAATTAAAAAATAATATTTAAAAAATGAAAGAAATAAAAATAATAACAAAAAAGTATCTGTCGTTAATGTTAAGGTAATTCTGAAAAACAAACTTTTTAGCACATTAAATTATAATATTTTTTATTAAAAATAATACGAGAGCATATCTTTAACCACTATGTACAAATATTTCATTTTTAATTCTTTTAATTAATACCCTGTATAAAATGGCTTTGAAAACAAAAAATATAACTTCAAGACAAATTAATGATATTAACTAATTAACTGCTTTTATATTTTAAATATGGTTTTAGTTTTTATTAGTTTTGATTTTATTTTTTATTTTCATCTGTCAGTTTTTTTATCCTACCATTACTTGATATAACAAAATGTTAAATGATCAACTCAAGTGATATTGATTACTGTTTGTAGTACAATGTTAATATATGATACCCAAGATTCCTAAATATAAATATTAATTATTTATGTTATAATAAAATTTAAGGATAAAAAGTAATAATTATCAAATTTTGATAAATTAAAATACAAATATATATGTGAAAGACACGGCAACCAAAATTTGTTTTTTCTATAAATAATAATTTAAAATTTTATATAAAAAATAGAGAAAAAAAAATCAAAATAAAAATACATTAATTTTGTAAGAAGTGGAAATATATTTCAAAAATTAGTCAATTGAGCCCTATAGATGAAGGGCATGATTTTAGTTTGAATTAAAGGGTTATTCTATTTTATTTTTGAACATATAAAAAAAAACTTATTATAAATATAGTGGGAACTTATAGAAGTTAATACTAAACACAGATGATTAGATATTGCATGAGTAAATAAAATTAAATATTTAAGTGTTTTTTTAAGAAAAACATGAAGTTATGTACGAAAGAATAAATTAAAAGCAAAAGACAAAGGATGAATCGAAAATTTTCTTTTAACTTTTGTTTTTTTGAAAAACTTTAATGAACCAATCGTTTTAAAAAGCGTTGAAGAGGCGTACGAGAGTAAATTTTTTGAAAAATTTAAGTGTTTTGTCATTCAAGCTGTATTACCAATAGGAAAAGACTGCAAACCTGCGCTTCCTGCACTGAAAAAAGGCTACTTGTTGCGACCCCCAAAAATATTCCTTGGACTTCTTAATCATACACTAAATTATCATCATTGTCTGAAAACATTAAGTTGCATAAACACTAAATATTCCTTTAAGAAATCTACAGTAATTAAGACATGCCTAAATTTGGTGTACCAGTCCTTGAAAAAAATTGAAACATATTTGACATCAGATGACAAGTTAAACTCTTCCATTTATAAATTTAGCAGCAATGCATTACCAATAATCTTATTATAGTCATTATAGACTCACCAGAGAAGAAAGTATATACTACATAAAGTTGCATAAACATAAACACTGGAAAATTAAAGCCATCTATTGTATGCAAAATTTGAATTGAGATGATTATACAATTCAGATGCAGGCAGTACTAATCTAAAAAATATTGAGACTCCACTAACCAATGTTTCAGTAGGTCAATGGAAATGGAACCACGTAGCAGTGTTCTAAAATGAACAAAATGCTAAGGGCTGCACGCAACATTATCTTGTGACAAATTATATTTAACAATATAATTATTTCTTGTTTCCTTACGTATATTTCTTGTTTCCTTACGTAGTTCAAGTCATAGTTCACGTTTCCAATAAAATGACAATGAATTTTTTTACGCCTCGAGAGAATAGAGAAATAAAAACATGCATTAATCTAAAACACTTATACTACTATATATAAAGGGAAAAGAATTAGAATTAAGGTATCTTTCAACTCCTATCCAAAAACAATTTTTCACTTTTTTTTAAGAAATTCAAAATTTTTTATTTTCCATTTACTTGTCTCTTTACTACAGTTTCATTACAGGGGATTGAAATGTCATATCTGCTTCCCTCGATCTGTTTTTATATAGTCAAGTATTAAGAGAAGAAATATATAATTGAAAAAAGTGTAGTGACTATTGCAAAAATGTGAAAAATCTGTCTTCATATATTCAAGTATTAAGAGAAGAAATATAAAATTGAAAACAGTGAAGCGCCCATTGCAACAATGTGAAATTGACTCATCAATACCTCGTATCCAATCTCTCTCTTATTCGGCCCGAGTATTTAAAGATAAACAGACTAATTTTTTGTATTTGATGACTGGATTTTTATGTATAAGATTTAAATTGATTCAAACATGTTTAAGTTTTGAACAATTTAAAGTCATTTTTTTTCCATGAAAAAGAACACTATAAGTAATATTAACAAAAAATAATTAAAGGCTTTGGAATAAAGATGTTATTTGCAACCCTTCGGTGCAGCTTGCCATTACACCCCTGAAACTTGAGATCAAATATATTTTATAGCCATTATATTATACCCTAAAAGATGGTTTTGCTATTTCATAGGAGGTGAGAATCCTACAGAGGTGTAAATGTGTCATAATGAAACATGGCTCCCTAAGCGTGGTCATATAACGTAAACAAAGATTACATTGTCAAAACTTAATGCAGAAATGCAGTCATCAGACACGACATCACCAACCATAAAATTTCTAGGCATTAGACACTCAATATAGAATTCTCTATTAATAAAACAAAATTTATCGGTGGGCATAAAATGCACCACAATATAAGATTCCAATGCCTACAATCAAGATTCCTGCCTGTGTTTTTGTTTCTTTGAATTAGTTCTCTTTTGGGAAATATCCAAGTTTGAGAGTTCCCCATCCACAGTATCTTGTTCAAGAATTATTCGTTCTGGCTCAATTCTTCTCTTCTTTTCACTCCTGTAAGTTTTCAAGACAGCTAAGCATTATATACTTTCAAAAGAATTCTTTTGACATACAAATACATTACAAGAGAAAAACCTGCCAGTACGGGAAACTACTTCCAAATTCTTGTCCAACCAATAAATGCTGCCTGTGTGATCGGGAATCAGAGATCCATAAACATGAAGTATTTCTTCATCAAAACTGCAAAAAGATAATCATAGAAATTAATCATGTGATGAAATGTTCAACTCATAATCTTTATATGATCAATTCACAGAAATTTCATCAACAGGAGGTTAGTATTTGGCTCCCATAAAATTCCTTTTCTATGAAAAAAATCATATTACTCTTTCCACTGTCTACACTACTATAGAAAACAACAACAATAATATGATACCTATTGCATATGCATAAGATGATATCAACGCCCACTTTAATTAGTTCAATGACTACACAAATGCAAAATTTCTTACAACGAAAAGTCAAAACCGTGGAGTTTCTGATAAATTCAGGTACAGGTCACCATAAATTTATAACTATTTACAACTTAATACTCATATAACTCTGCAAATATAGTGTTTCTTCATTGTAGCAAACCCTACCAAGTGGGAAACAGACTGTCTATTGGTACAAATGTGCATCAATATTTTAAGTAACTACCAATTCCGCAGAATATACATTCTACACAATTAGTCTTAATTGAAGGAAATTAACAGTATTCACCTCTTCACAGAAAACCGTATCATGGTCCCGACCTTTATCACATGCCGCTTGTTAGACCTGCTCGCATACACCTCTTGCCCTTTTTTCTACAAAGAGGAAGAGGAACCACAAAAACCGTATCAGCACCACTAGTTAATCACTAAAACATAGAGGAGTAATTAAGTAATCATTGCCACTAATTAAAGCATGTCCGGTTTCAATTTTCAAACTTACACACTTCAATATTTTCACATCAAATTTGAACTATGGACTCAAAATCCACTAATTCTAGCTTCATGTGATACACATCAATAATGAATAAAATTTTAATAACTTACTAGGTTCATGTACCTCCACTTACAAAAGTGTTTTGGACCAAAGATATACTCCTTCCTCAATTAATTGGTAAAAACAAGTAGAAACCAGAAACTAAACCACACTCACCATTTTGCACACAAATTCTTCCCTAATGTCTTTTTCTGCTATAACCGCAGCAGAAAAGCCAAGCACAACAACGTGAATGAACTCTTGCGTAATCTTAACCACCTTCCCTTCTGAAACCAACGAAAACAAACCCTATAAATTATCGCGAGGCATTGATTTTCCATTAATATATTTATTGAACGAAAAAAAAAAAAACAGAAGAATAAATACCTAAAAGCGTGTTTGGCTTGGGAGAAAAGAGCAGGAAATTGACCTTGAGTTTGACACCGACGTAAGGGAAAACGCCGGGGAGGATCTTGGCGCATGTGTCAAGCGAGTTGATATCGTAGGCCAGAACGACGCCGTCGGCGATTTCGCTGTACCTGCAATAGGAAAAGCACAAGTGAAAAGGATGATAAGGAGTGTGACGTTTTGATAGGGTTTGGTTTGGAAGAAAGCGTACGTGAAGAGCATGGAGCTGAGTTCGCGGAGAACGGCTTGGGAAACTTGGTTGCTCTTTGAAGGATGAATGTATATTGTTAAGTTCAGTTTGGAGACCTTCAACCCTTCCATTGACTGTTGTCTCCACGCGCCACCTTTGGTGGAGTGACACCGCTGCTTGGTTTCGAAGAGAGGAAAAAGAAGAAGTGGGGAATTAGGTTTATACACTTCTAAGTACCAAAATACCCTCTCTACCTCACTTGGGTTGACTAATTTGACTTGAGACCTGTTACAAATTGAAAACGTGAATTAAAGAAACATAAAAATTAGGGTGAATCAAGTATAAAAAGAGAGGAACAGTGATGATAATATGGGCTTACACGTCCTATTTTATCCTTTATATTCATGGCCCATAAAAAATAAATTGGGATGAACTTTTCCTACAAAACTTGCCAACTATTTAATCTCACCTATTTTGTAAACTTAAAATTCTTTTAAAAAATCTTGTTATACTCAATAAAATACATAATAATTAAATAACACAATTTAAAATATTTTTTTCTACCAAAATACTTAAAAAATATAAATTACACAAAATAGTTTTTAATAAAATTTCAAAATAAATAACTCAATAATTATAACACAATATAAATCAAATCAACATATACTTAAACAAAATTGGTGGACTATTTCACCCGTCTTTATTTGTGTTGTAGTAGGTTAAGTAGAAGGAGTATAAATTAATTGTGAGTTATAATATCCAATCCATCTTATGTTTTTATTAAAGTTTCACAAGATAGACTATGTCATCCAATAACATGACTTTATTTTCTTATATTACTTATTTTTTTATATATATATATATATATATATATATATATATATATTATATTTTGTTTATCTATATCAAAATTTGTGCTTTGACAGTGAAGATTAAAACAAATATTCTCACAATATTTCTATGATGTATAATAGAAAAATGTAAATTTTGTATAATATTCTGTTTTATTTATTTATCGTATAACGACATAAATATAATAAAAAAATAAAACATATTTAAGGAATTTTAAATCATATAGTTTTTCTTTATGTGCAAGATATAATATTTAGATAAGTTAAAGAGGTATTGTCGATAAATATGTTGTTTAGATGTGTAAAAATATTTATAATATTTTAATATATCTCATGGATTAGATAAACGCATAAAAAAAAGAATTATATAAATTGTCAACTAATAAAAACATGATATACATAATAATTATTGTAAAATAAAGCAAATTTGTTTATTGGATGATAATATAAAAATATTTTTTATAGATATAAAACTGAAAAACCAACCTTTCAAATATTCCCGCCAAAAAAAATGAGAATTGCAGAGATATCCTCGCCGGAGCTCCGGCCACTCCACCGAGACTCGGAGGCTAACAACCGTAGTCTCTACCATATCGAAGCAATCGTTAAACAACTCGAAACCCGATCTACTGACAAGCCACCGCCGGAAACCGCTACTTCCGATCTCCGTAAATATCTGTCTCAACTGATTCAACTTGCTCCATTTCCAAATTCGTTGAAGCTTCAGATCTGGAAGCTCAGCTACCGCCTCTGGAACGCATGCGTCGACATATCCAACACCACCGCCATCCATTCCTCCTCCTCCGCCACCACCGAAAGCCACGCCGAACTCCGAAACATTGCCGCCGACCTCATCTATAGTGCTGGAGACGTCGCCGGTGTTCCATCTCCGGCAATAAAATCGGCGTCGTTCTACCTCAAGACCGGTATGATATGGCACAACCACCGGAAATTCGATCTCGCCGCGAAGTGTTTCGAGCGAGCCACGGATCTGGTCTCGAAGGTCGATATCAATTCAATTGTCGACGCTGGAGAGAGAAAACTGTTGCTGGATCTTAACCTGGCTCGGTCCCGAACCGCGTGGGAGGTTCGGGACCAGAGCCTGGCAGTGGCGCTGCTGAACCGGAGCAAGAGCTTCATCTTCGGTTCGTGCGAGCACTACGCGGATCTCGCAAAGCAGTTCATGGCGTTCGGGAAACGCGCGTTGTCGAACACAGGCGAGGACGCGAATCGCGAGGCGCTGAAGCTGATGAACGAGGCGTTGGAGAGTTGCGAGAAGGGATTCTGTGCGGCGCGAACACGGGAAGAGAAGATGGAGTTCCGAGGGTTGAGGTGGAAGGCGCTTAGGTTCATCGCTGCGATTCATTTGCAGAAAGAGGAATTTGAGAGTGTGATTAAGTGTGTGAAGGTTTTGAGAGACTCTGCTGATGGCGGTGACGAGCATCCGAGTCTTTCGGTGTTGGCTATGAAGGCGTGGTTAGGGTTGGGGAGGCATGGAGAAGCGGAGAGGGAGTTGAGGGGTATGGTGATTGATAAGGGGATTCCTGAGGGAGTTTGGGTATCGGCGGTGGAGGCGTATTTTGCGGCGGCGGGGACGGCGGGGGCGGAGACGGCGAAGGGGGTGTTCTTGGGGCTGTTGGGAAGGTGTCATGTTAGTGCTGGGGCGGCGGTCAGGGTGGCGCATAGGGTGGTGGGTGGGGGCGGGGAAGGGGGGAGAGTGAGGGCTAAGGTTGTTGCAGAGCTTGTGTCTGATGAGAGGGTGGTGGCCCTCTTTGCAGGACAGGATGCTGCTAAGGATAGGGTGGCAATGCATGCTGTTCTATGGAATTGGTATAGCTTCCTGAATCTCTCATTCCCAATCTGCTCTGAATTCTAGAGTATGTGAGTTTTGCAATGCACCTTGGGCTGTGCCTTAAACAGTCATATTTCAAATTTAGAACACTTTGGCTTTGTTATCTTTCTCTTTTGTCTTCTAAAACGTTTTCACAATAAAATATATAGTGAGTGTGGTTGCATCGAATGGAATAAAACTTATTGTTGTTGGTCAAGTTACCAGCTAGGTGCGATAGCTTTCGTGGTTGAACTGATGTTAAAGGACATCAACAACACAATGGCATTGGAGATTAGGGATTAGTTGTTCACATAGTGGTTAATTAGGGTTTGAATTTTTTTTTTTAAGATGTGGTCGCCTTCGTGCTTGACTGCAGTTCAACCAAGATTGCATTTATGTTGAGTACCTACAGCAAACCCAACATATGACAAAAGCAACTTCTTATGCTTTGATTCTTAGATGTGATATTTCATAGTTAGATTATCGTTGATTTTACCTTGATAAATAGTAAAATATACATGCTAAAAGGGTTAACCGTTTGCCTGATGCAGATTTGCATTCCGTAACGTTTTGCAATACCTAGGAAGTTCTCTCCAAATGAACCAACTGATGTCAATATTTTAATGTGATTTTCAGTGGTGCCGAGAATTTTCAATCAAAAGATTACGAGACCAGCGCGGAACTCTTTGAAAAATCAATGCTATACATTGCATATGATACAGAGAACAGAATACTTCGAGCGAAGGGCTATAGAGTTCTGTGTCTCTGCCACCTTGGTCTCCTGCAGCTGGATCGTGCTCAAGAATACATCAATGAAGCTGAAAAGGTATTGTTATTGACAGAATTTTGAATCTGTTGCATTAATTTCTGTCAGATATGAAACATTATCAATGTTTTTCTTTCTCTGCAGCTTGAGCCGAACGTTGTCTGTGCTTTTCTTAAGGTACACTATCTTCTCACCGTGTGTGTGTTGGTGCTTCTGTATCCAGTATATATATATATATATATATATATATATATATATATATATATATATATATATATATATATATATATATATGTATATATATATATGTATATATATATATGTGTATATATATATATATATATATATATGTATACATAAAAAACTGGAATTCAAATTTATAATGCCATCCTACGCTTCCTTGTTCACGTTGAATTATCCAAAATCATAGTGAAATATGATTAATAATCGTGTGTTGGTGCTTGTGTATCCATATATGCATACATCAAACATCAAACATCATACAAATTTATAATGCAATCCTACACATTAGAATTCATGTTAAATAATAAAAAATTATTTTAAAATATCAGCTAACATAATTTTAGGTGAATGGGTTATAAGTCCAAAATTGAATTTAAGTTAAAAAATCTTAAACTAACTTCTAGTCTTGTTTTACACTGAAGTTTGTGTTACTAACTTGATTTTAGCATAAAAACATTCAAGCATAATATATTTACTTTAATATCTATTTTTAAAATTAAAATTAATTTTTCAAACATGTGACGCTTTGAGCTGGTTACAACTAACCCCACTTGCATCTCATTAGGATGATAGAATCACGTTTGCAACAGGAATAGCATGAGAACTTACACTGACATTTATTTGTTTTAACTCAGTTCAAAATTTATCTCCAAAAAAATGACCACCAAGGTGCTACTAATCAGATAGAAGCCATGACAACATGCCTTGACTTTCAACCAGATTTCCTCTCACTTTCAGCGCATGAAGCTGTTGCATGTCATGCTCTACCAGTTGCTGCTGCTTCTCTATCAAGTATGCTGAAGTTCTACGCTTCAGGGAAGTCGATGCCCACAGCAGAAGTAACAGTTGTGCGCACCTTGCTGACAGTCCTCTCTCAAGAACAAGGTAACGAACAGAAAGTCGTCAAATTTTTGAAACATGCCCAAACTCGAGCATCGGAGATTGGTCCCGATTGCTTCTTTGGAAAAGAGGAGGTTGGCAGACGGGAACGGAATTGGTTTGCCGTGACTTCGTGGAACTATGGTACAAAAACGGGTCAGGATAAGAACTATGAATTATCATCTAAGTTCTTAAAACTGGCGTCAGATTTTTATGCTCTAGTTGAGGGGTCCGATAATGAAAACAATGTCTTGGTTTGTAAATCGTTAGTGCTTTCTGTATCATCAATGATAGCGTTAGAGTTTCAAAGGAAGACACCTATGTCAGAAACTGAAGTCAAGCAAGCTTTACACTTGCTAGATAGAGCAGGGCAGGTATGAAAATGTTGCAACACCTTCATTTTGCTTGGTGCAATGGTCTTTTAGATTGACATGATGCATAAAATATGCTATCAAAGTAATTCCTTTTTAGTTTATATTTTAGTTATGAATCCCGTTGAATATTTTCTTGCTCCCTTATTGTGTGGATGCAGATGCTAAAATCAATTTCGGCCAGGAACTCAGTTAACGGTGACCAAATTAATACCATTGAGCCTGAACTTTTTTTCGTATACACTTTCTGTGCTTATGATATACAAGGCAGGCTGAATGACTCAGGGTCACAGCTTCTAAATGTGAGAAACTTTGCCAGTTCAAAGGCCTGCAAACCCCACCACCTCCTTCAAATAGGTCTCTCTGCCTCACAGGGACCACGGTTGAATCACGAAGTAGCTTCATTTGCTTTAAATGAAAGCCTCTCATCTTTCCTATCATCACCAGCTCCAGATTATCAAAATGTTGCTCTTGTGACCCGCAAGCTTATATCCATCACTAGCGTTTACAAGGGTGACACTGATGATGATCTTGTGTATGGCATGTACAGGCAAGCCTATAAGATAATGGTTGGTTTAAAGGAAGACGAGTATCCAATTGAAGAAGGAAAGTGGCTTGCCATGACTGCATGGAACCGAGCAGCAGTGCCAGTGAGGTTGGGCCAGATTGAAGTAGGGAAGAAATGGATGACTGTTGGCCTGGACATTGCTAAGCATGTTCCTGGCATGGAAGCTTACAAAGCATGCATGGAAGAAGTCCTAGGTAATTTGAAGAAAGAACCTTGATATGCATGAATCTCAGTTGCGTTTTCTAGAAGTACACAATTCATACCTCTTGTACAGGGAAAAGTTCAGCAAAGTATATATTGTAGAAATCATCTGGTGTTGAATTTTGTTTTGGTATTTTTCTGTAAGTTTTATACGAGCAGGTTTCAACTATTTTTATTCTTCTGAAAAAAAAAAAAAAACACTATTCTATTTTTTGGGTTTTGTTTTCCGGCTTTTCATATTATTCAACATAAAGTGTGTATCTATAGGTTATTTCTTTGCTGCCATTTATGTTGGTCTGTCCAAAAGGAACACGCGATTGCTAGATGGTCATTGATTATGAAGTTAAGCATTGACGCTTGAGTTACATTGACAATAATGACTTGGAGGATATTTATAAAATGCTACAAGTATGAGTGCTACAATACAAAAGCAATTAGAATTGGCTCCATAGGTATCAGCATAATGCTTGCAAGTTTGTTTGTGGAAAAGCAATTAGAATTCGCATACATGGTATGATATACATGAAATTACTCTTAAAAACATTCTCTAGTTCTTGCAAAAACAAGCTTAGAACTTTGTTGGGAAAATCTTTTGGTAATGTATTGGTTCAATGCCCGTAGAGTCGTAGGTATTGGGAGATATACTGGAGTAGAAATTTGAAAAAAGGGGAATAAAGTTGGGAAATAAATGTAACATCTGAAATCTTCAGTTTTTCTTCAATGTCTTATTTTTTCTTTTTAAAATCAAATTAATTTAAATATTCTATTTCAGTAATCCATTCATTCATTCTATCATTCATCATATTGTATGATTATGCAAGATTATTATTTAATACAAATATTCTGTTTATGCATTCTCATTCAAGATTATTATTTAATTAATATAATATTAGGAATGTGATTTTTTTATTAATAAATTTTAATTGTTAATATTTTTTTTAATAATGAGGATTTGAACATATTATCTATTTCACCTTTCGTTTACTTCTTTTCTGATTTTACCACCTGACAAATCTTATAACTTTATGCATTAAGTTTACTTAGCAAACTAAAATTGGTGTGTTGTCATAAAGTTTTTTATTTAAAACAATTATTTTCTAAATATAAATTTAGTCTTTTTTAAATTAATAAAATTTGTACTTTTATTCATGTTTCATCTTTTCCATCTATAACATACATACACTAATAAATTAATAATAGTATAAATAGTTAATTCAATAAAGGGAAGCAAAGTTAAATTTAATAAAGGAATCCTTGAAATGAATATTCTCGGAAATATCTTATTCTACTACACAAATAATTTTTTTATATTAACCCCTTCCCCTATCCTTTTTCAGAAAGACACACTCATCTCTGCAAAATCTCCATCCCATGGATTCCATCTCTCTTCTTCTCTCTCCTTATCCACTCTCACTGAAACCCCACAGACCCACCGCCTTCAAACCCTTCTCTCACTTCTCAAACCACAACCCACCACACTCCACAATTCAACCTTCGCAACTCCGTTCACTCTCACTCTCCGCAATCCAAACGCGTTCTCCCAACGCATTAGCAAAACCCTTCTTCTCATTCACCGCCTTCAACCTCTTCACTCCGTTTCCATGCCTCGCTGACGTGGCGACGGACGTGGACGCCGACGGTGGCAAAATCAACATCGAATATGTTCTGGTTTCCATTGACAACTTCTTCAACCAGTACCCGTTTTTCGTGTTTGGGTGCGCCTTCATTTGGCTGGTGGCGATTCCGCTGGCCGAAGAGTATTTCAAGAAGTGCAAGCTCGTGTCGGCTATTGACGCCTTCAGGAGGCTCCGCGATGATCCGAACTCGCAGCTCTTGGACATAAGGGACAGGAAGAGCGTAAGGTTTCTGAGGTCGCCGAATTTGAAATTTATTGAGAAGGAAGTGGTGCAGGTTGAGTTCACTGATGGTGGGAATGAAGAGGAGTTTGTGAAGAAGGTGTTGGGTAGGTTCAAGGACGCGTCGAACACCGCTGTCTATGTTTTGGACAGGTAAATAAAAATCGTGAATGAGAGATAGAATAGTACTGCAAGTTGCAATTATCTTAGAATTTGGGTTTGGACGTAAGTCACTCTGCAAATCTTATGTAATACACTATTTTAATCTCAAAAACCTATTTATGTGCACTATTTTTAATCATAGTATTACAAGGAATCTCTGACATAATCCTTGCGCTGAAGATTTAACATATGGAACGTGAGATTTGTAACATAGGATATTTGCAGGTTGTGTTGATAAATCTAAATAACAGTTGCTAAGATCGAATCTGACTGAAACAGAGTATAATCTGTTTTATATTATTTCTCAAATAAAACTCAATGTTCTTTCATCAAACACAGGGTCTGCAATTAATTTCGTACACTAAAGTGTAAACAACTAAAATTGTAACATCTCCAGCACCGAAGAAAAGAGAAGTTAATCTCCAGATAAGAATCACGTTCCTACAGTTACACCTGAGCATAATTGGATTTAGAGGGTCAGAGAAGAAGAAAATATGCAGGATAGGGGGAGAACCCAGAGAGAAAATCAGATAAAAATGTCCATACGAAGTTGCCCTTTACTCCTGAAAGTCTCGTAAATATTCTTCTTCCTAATTCGTTTTGTTCTCCTCAACGCCAAAGGGTGTTGATCTTTTGCCACGTGTGTTTCTGTTGTAACCAATTTTGATTCCATGTTTTAATTTGCCACCTCCTTACTCCTACGTGTTACGATACCATTCCCTTTAACAACAACCTTGTCCTCAAGGTTGAATTGAGAATATGAAGATTTAATTTCTTCCAAATCTTCCCATGTATTGTCTTGCAATCCACCTACATTCCTTTGCATCAACCCTTGTGATACCTGCTGTGAATCGCCTATCACCACCCTGGAATTCAGGAATTTAAGCGTTTGCAGGATAGGTCCTATTTCCGTAGTATTAAGGGGCAGAGGGAAATATTGTTGAGGACAATTACTATGAAACTTCTTTAATATTGAAATATGAAAGATAGGGTGTATTCTAGCTGTCTTTGGAAGTTTCAACTTATATGCCACTGCACCAATGCACTGTATCACTTTAAAGGGTCCAAGAAAACACATTTCTAATTTCTGATTCTTCCTTAAGGCCGTGGAATGTTGCCTATATGGTTGTAACTTAGCCAAGGCATAATCTCCCACTCCTAACTGAAATTCTCTCCTCTTTCTATCAGCTTGCAATTTCATGTAATTTTGAGCTTTGCACAGATTGTTCTTTAGTTGCTGTAGAATTGTGTCTCTGGTTAATAATGATTCCTGCAATGGAAGAGGATCTTTGGAATCACATTGGTATGACACAAGTATAGGAGGATCTCGGCCAAAAACTGTCTTAAATGGTGTCATGCGAATGCTATGGTGAAAAGATGTGCTGTACCAAAATTGTCAATGCTTGGGATTATCAAAGACAAAATATCGAAAATACATTTTCACTGTTTTGTTCAAGTTCTCAGTTTGGCCATCACTTTGAGGGTTGTATGATGAACTCATGGTTAATGTTGTGCCTGAGTTTTAAAGAGTTGTTTCCAAAAAGAACTCATAAACACCCTATCTCTATCTAAAACAATGGTCGTAGGAAATCCATGAATTTTCACCACTGAATTGATGCAGGCTTATGCTACCATTTTACTATTAAACTCACTTCTAAGAGGAATAACATGAGCAAATTTGGACAGCCGATTGACAATTACCGTGATATTTTAATAACCATGATAATTGGGTAGATTGGTGATGAAGTCCATAGCAAAGTCCTCCCATATTTTAATTACTGCTTTTGTCTGGACATTTCACCTATGTTGTCTTTTTCTTCATATTTTACATTTTACTAAAGATTAGGGGGAGAAATTCTGTCTATAGTATAGGTCTGACTAAGATCAAAGTAATCTTATTGTAACAAGAATAATATAATTTCTTTGACCATATAATATACATGTCTGCAGAATTCCTCACCTGTTTCTCTTTTGAGTGTAAGGTAGTTTCGATGGTAATTCCATGAAAGTTGCTGAGTTACTATTCAAAAATGGTTTCAAAGAGGCCTATGCAATCAGAGGTGGAGTTAGAGGCCAGCAAGGTTGGATGGTATGTCCATTCTCTTCTCTTTCACTTGAGTTTGTTTAGCAGAAAGTGCAGAACGAACATCTGTCTACATTTTATACATTTTTTCTTCATTCTCTCTATCAAAACACTTAAGAAGCTGTAAAAGATTCTTACATTTTAGAGTATTTAGAAAGATTTAAGTGGTGGATTTCAGTTTGTCACTTAAACTTGATTCCAAAAAGGAGTTTATCTGGTTACACGAAATCTGTTCAAAGTAAGGTAAAAGGGTCTTCATGGATGCAGGCTATACAAGATTCCCTTTTGCCCCCTTCGATGCATATAAGGAAAAGAGTATCTTCAAACGAACTCAATACAAATGGAAATGGAGCCATCCAGCAAAATGATAGTAAAAATAAGAGTTCCTTATCCCAAGAGATCTCTCCTGTTGGAAACCAAAAGACGGACAATGGTAATGTGAAAAGCTCTACGGAGTCTATTCCAGAAGTGAAAACTGGTTCTGTAATCTTCTCCTCTCCTTATCCCAATGTATGTTATCCTCAACTCTCTCATATCATGTTTCTTCATGTTCTAAATGGGTGTGTTTAAAAGTTAAAGTAGGAAATGTCAATTTGTTAATGTTGATCGATGAGCTATGCTACTCAAATTTGTTCCACATCACTGTTATTCATCTCATGTGAGTTAATGTGGTACTGTAGTAAAACTGTAGAATTTTATTTGGGTTCACGCTGATATCATCAATGATCAGGCCATATTAATGATGCCAATAGTTTTCATTATTTTCGGAAATTTATTCACAAACATTCACACTTTTGCATGATGTGTTTCTCTCCATATATAGGATGGCTTAATGCACGATTTGTGGGTGCAGGAGCAACTCCTTAAGTAATCTAGAATACATATTTGTTGCAGTCTGTTTTATTTTGAATTTAATGTGATTTCTGTATAATTAGTTGCCAAATGATATGAATGTAGATCTTAAGTTTATTTAGGCTTTTGAAAGATTGGACTAGGTTTTGTACTGTGCGAGTAACCCCAGTATACATAATATTAAGGATTTGTATTCAGCATCTCTTAGCTATATTATAAGAATTTTAGATCTTAGAGGTTTCTAAACCTTAGAATACCTCTATTATTGTTCCACTTCAATGTATCTTTATGTCTCTTTTAAAATTCTATCGTTTAAGCTTCTGTCCTATCTACTGCATGAACCTTGCAATTGGTGTTTTATGTCCATTGTTTTCTTATACTGATGAACATGACAACTGATCATTGGAAATCACAGTTGAGGTGTGTTAATGTAGTGTTGAAATACTCTCAAGAAATAGCTTCACTACCAATCATGTAGGAAAGTGATGCAATCTCAGAATTTAAACTTTTGAGTACTTCAGTTCTTTTGGGGCTCATGGGTGTGATGTCTGCGAAACTCATTTTACCCTTTTCCTTCTTTGGGGGTCTTATCCTCTATTTGACTTTAAACAAAATTATGGGGGCTATGCACTATACTTTAATTAGCATTTCTTTCTTTCCTTTGGTTACAGTGAGCTACATCATTGTTCTCTTTTTGGCTGGACAACAATGTGACATCCTTTCAATGATTGAAGTAATATACCGAGTCATTATGAGTTAGAAAATGATAGACAATGGTTCAAACGATAGAGTCTGAAGAAAAGCAGGATATATTGAATTAGAATGGCAGTTTAGAAATCTCTCATATCAGAAATGATAACAGTAAGGCTGAAGGATTTTGAATACAAATCCCTACGATTATCTATACTAGGGTTGTTAGCAATTAGTATTTTACCAAATCTGCGTATGGCCCAGTGGCAGAATTACATACATGTGGGGTGGAGGGGAGCAAATATATTAAAATATCAAAAACTCCCAAATTATTTTCATTCTTATTTTTATAAAATATAATGTTATCCTCTCAATATGTTTTTCTAGTTCATCCTTTGCAAGGAGCCTTCATGTACGAGATTGCATGTTTGTTGGAGTATGATAATGAACATTGTCATTCCGTGTTTTGTTATGTGATTGAGCACTCTAAGATTATAAGAATATAAAAAATCAAAACAACACATATCCTAAGACACAGAATTGATGCAGTTGCTCCTGGTGTGTTGAGGCTAATTGAGTAGTGAATAACTTCCTTCCAGTAATTAAAAAGAATCCTAGGAAGTAATTCTCTCGGTGGGCCTTTTCTTACTCCTCTGGGAATCCACCCTGATTGGTAGGAATGATGGAGTAACTTATTGACCTGTTCTTTTCACCTTTTAACTGCACCAAAAAAAGGATGAAGTTGATCCTGCACTGCACATGCTACAACTCATTGGTATTGTGGCAGTGGCAGCAACTATCATTTATCACTTAAGGTCATAATTCAAATTTTAGAGTACCCTTCCCAACCGTCTCAATAGTGTATAGATATTAACAAAGGGAATAAAAGATTTCCAAGACAGCTTTGAGTATAAAATAGTTGCACCCGTGAATCATGCATGCATATGATAGTTGGAGAGCTTGTTGGATATATAAAGAAAAAGGAGTCTATCGATGAGAGCTTAGGTGAAGGCTCGAAGTTGAAAGATTCTGTATGGGATGTTCTTTCTATAAAGTGATGAAGGCTCTAAGTTGAAAGACTCTGTATGGGATGTTCTTTCTATAAAGTGATAAACGGAGGGATATTGCTTTTAAAACCCATAGTCAAGCAGAAGGTTAGCTTTATCTCAAACAATATTGACTTTACTCGAAGGACGAAATTCCGATCTGACCACGCTTTCGTCTGTTGATTATGTCAAAACGGGGAACAGTAAGACCATTTGTTCCAGTTTCTGATTCAAGAATGTCTGTTCCTATTGTTCTTGTAATGTCTGAACGTTTAGGTGAGCCACACCTCCAGTATTTGCAGAGTTCTCATTTGCGTGCTTTTAATTTGTTCTTTAGTTTTCTTTCTATTCTTATGCAAATTCACAACAAGCTTCAGCAGTTATGATTCACTACATGTGCATACGTTTAGATTCAGTGAGTATGGATAGTAATTGTATCTAAAGCAATCATGCATAGAAACATCGAATGGAAATGTCCGTTGGAGTTTAGACTGTTCCAACAATGGTGACTCCAACTTTGTCAGTACATTTGTGATCTCTTTTATATATGCCTAGTATCCTACAAATGGAAGATGACTATAGATATTCCTATAAATTTGATTGATTTCATTAAGATATTTTGCTTGCATGATTTGAAAACGTGAAACAGCCACAGTAAACATCAATACTTCTGAAGCGTGTGTACTACTGTTTTCCTACATTTTATATTTTGGAATTCCGTTCTTTGATAAAAAATAAACATTCTCATCATTTTTGTCTTTCTCTTTTGCAGTACCCGGATTTGAAGCCACCATCATCTCCAACTCCATCAAAGCCACAATAGTTTTGATGGTTATAGCATACTCAACCGACATCTGTATGGCAGAAATAGAATTTGTGTAAAATCGTATATTTCTAATTTCACAATCACTCTTTTTCTACTTAGAATTAATAATTTAGAGAATGTAAAATGCAATATTTTTCTACTTAGTATTTATACTCTCTAACAAATTTTTAGCAACAATGACAAGTAAATTAGTTGAGCAATTGATAGGTTTTAGTTTAGGAGATTGGCAAAAAAAAAATAAAAAAAAATTAAAGTACATATTAAAGCCATTAAATGTTTGCATCTTTGTCAGGACAATAATTAAAGATGACCATTCATAATATCTATAAACTGATATATGAGAAAACAGTTTATGGGACAAATTTGAATTATTAATCACATGATACAACTGCAGTTTTGTGTTTTTATTCAAGTGCAACCCCGTATTTAATATATTGATAGATACTGACAATGGTTACTCATATGAAATGTATATTAATTACAATTGTTAGTAACAATTTTAAATAATTATTTGGATAGATGTTTTCATTGATTATAGTAGGGGAAAAAAAAATTACAAGTTAATTTATAGATGAAGGATAATGTCTGAAGAAATTTATCTAAGCATATACTTAATTATAAACACAGATGACAAATAGATTTTATTAATGTCAGAAAATATATTTTAGTCTATCTATTGTCTTCTTACACAATCATTCCTCTGTCCTTATCTTTATAGGACGAGGCAACTTTGAACCGTGGAAATTTTTTTTTTCCATCCTTCACAGTATTTAAAGCTTGTGGCAGAAGAATGAACATAGAATAAGGTTATTGGGCTTCACACTAATGAGGTTTGCTTACTGCTACCCCACACAAAAAAAAAAATACTAATTTCTTTGATGAGATTGCCATTATTTAAAGAGAAAAAGTATAGCTGATTTGAAAAATAAGGGGACCAATGCTTTCTGAAAAGATGTTAGTGATTACTTTTTTATGACCTTTTCTTACATTCACTGCTTTGGTTATCTCCACCTGCTTCACACGAGGCTGAGCCAAATCCTAATTTATTTGGAAACAGTAGTATTCAAAAGAGGTGGAGGATATTAGAAACTCGTGTGACATGCAATTTTAATTTAGTATCAAAATTTTACTTCCTTAGCCCAATACGAGAGAAATAATGAAGACACATCCTTATTTTAAAATGACAAGTTTTCACCGCACTAAGCTTGGGATTTTTGTGTCCATGTCTTTATCATGGTTAATGAAACATGTTTCCCCGGACTTCAAGGAAGTTTGTATATTTTTGGCTTTCTTCCTTGTCTTTTGTCAAACCAAAAAAGTACTCCCATTTATTCTTTTTAAGGAGTAAACATTTTTTTAATTCATGCGCCGCGTCAAAGTAACACCCAAAGTCTTTGTTCTTCGATAACTGGGCATATCAAATTACAATTTCAGACATTTCACTTCCTAAGATAATCCCTACATCACCGTTATATGAAGCATTTTGAAAGTAACTTCAATTATAGTGTTCATGGATTTTGTTTCCTTTGAACTTGTTTATAGAGACTTTACACTTGAATTACAGCATTATAATTTAATGCTACTCTATTCATTGGCATTCAAAATACGTATGTTATATATATTTCCATTAACTTTTTAATAATATTTTTCTTATGGATAATTTGTTTTGAGTTTAATTGTTATGCTTAGGAAAATTACATTCTCAAGCAATACAAAATATCACTAAAATCCAAATTTAACTCAAATCTTTAAACTTAAGTCTAAGTTCCGTTCAATCCTCCAGAATTTTTACACACTAATTGAGATTATATTAGGTGATAACCTGAAGACTAAAAATGTTCGTATTAATTCAGATTCAAAATTTAAAATCTAAATCAATTTTTTTATTCACCTTTATGTAATTAACTAAGCAAGATGTTAATTAGATAAAAGTTTAATTTACACTGTAGCATTAAGTGTGTAAGGTATTATTTGTTTGTATATAAACACTCAATTTTTAAAAGCAACTCAATCTCAAAACTGCTTGAGTTGTCTTGATATTCAAAGCAATTGAATGTTGCATACCAAATATACCATTGAAAATCTTCATCACTGTACCTGTCACTTTGTTTCCATGTCCCAATTAACCAAGAATGTCAAAAGGTGAAAAGGAAAGAAGAAAGATAGAAAAAGAGACATGAGAAAGGAGGAACAATGATTGGGTTGTAGTAGTGGCATGCACTCAAATTAAATCCCCCATGAACAGTTTGAAGAAGTTGCATTTGCACAGGCCATGGAAGAGTGCAAACGTGGAACCTTCAAGTAGTGAAACAGAATAACCAAGAGAATCTTAGCTGTATGCAACACCCTTTTCATCTCTTCATAAATTCAACCTTTCACACACTCTCTTATTCTCTTCTCTGCAACAAAAGTCCCCACAGTCATTGCTACATATCTCACTCTCACACTCACTCACTCACTCACTTCTCACAACAACCACAAAATGCAAACTTTCTTCTTCTTCTTCTTCTTGTCATGTGCATTAGCCTCAGCACAATCCTTGTTCTTCAACAGAAGGATCCTCCATGAACCCTTCATTCCTTTAACCTCTCTTCCTCCTTCACAACCACCACAACCACCACCTCCTCATCCTTCTCCTTCAACCCCAAAACGAAAACCCAAATACCCTTCATCATCCACCATCCCCACCACTACTGTTACCACAACACCAACATCTACAACACCAACAACAGAAACATCAACAGAATCACCATTTTTCCCATTATACCCCTCTTCCCCTCCTCCTCCTTCTCCGATCACCTTTGCCTCCTTTCCAGCCAACATTTCCTCTCTCGTTCTCCCTCACTCCCCCAAACCCAATTCCTCCCCCAACAAACTCCTCCCCGTCGCTCTCTCTGCCGTCGTCGCCGCCGCACTCGTCATCGCTATCTCCGCCTTCGTCTGTTACCGCCGCCGCCGAAACCCTCCCCCCTCCCCAGCAGGTAAAATTCTCCGTTCCGGCACCGACCTCCGCCCACTCCGCCGCAATGCCAAAACTTCCATCGAAGCGCGGAAGCTCCGGCACACGTCCTCCACCAGCTCCGAGTTTCTCTACCTCGGCACCGTCGTGAACTCTCACATAATCGAGGACGCGGACGTCTCCAACGTCGGGGAAGATGACCGGAAAATGGAATCGCCGGAGCTCAGGCCGCTTCCACCGCTAGCCCGACAAGCGTCAGTGCCGCCACCTCCTCCACCCCGCGATGAGGCGGGTTTCACTACCGCGGAGGAGGACGAAGACGAGTTTTACTCCCCGAGAGGTTCGTCGTTGGGAGGCTCCGGAGGAACCGGAACGGGTTCCCGGCGAGTGTTCACCTCCGGAAGAAGCGTGACCTCTACATCGTGCTCTTCGTCTTCTTCTGGCTCGCCGGAAAGGTCTATGTCGAACTCGCCGCTGCCGACGGGTTCGAAAGCACTGTCGCCGGAAAATTACAACCACCAGCACGTGCATCCCTCTTCTTCGATGTGCCCAACACCAGATAGTGTTTTCGCCGAACATGATAACGATTCGTTAAGTGCATGTGCACGTACACATGCACATGCAGCACCGTCATCATTACATGAAGGAACATTGGAGAAAAATGAAAATGCATTATCTTCATCGCCACCACCGAGACTATCTAATGCTTCTTCGTCTTCGGCTTTTTCTCTTCCCTCTTCGCCGGAGAAGGTGACACGTCATCACACTTTCGATCAGTCCCCGAGAATGTCGAGTGTCTCCGACGGACTAATGTTACCTGGATTGTCATCGTTGCCTTTGTCACCCGCCCTGCTTTCATCGCCGGAAACCGAAAGAGGAACTTTCAGTGAATTGGGAAGAGGTTCTTTTGGTGCGCACAGAAAAAACTGGAGCATCCCAGTACTGTCAATGCCAATAACAACACCCTTTGATGAAATTGGAACTGTTCCAGCTCCTCCACCTTTGCCACTGAGGAAGCACTGGGAAATTCCAAGCCCTGCTCCCCCACCACCTCCGCCATTACCTCGACAGAGGAAACAGTGGGGAGTTCCAGCGCCGGGGCCGTCAACACCGATTGGTCAACCGGTTTCAAGACCACCGGAATTGTTGCCTCCTTCTAGGCCTTTTGTCTTGCAAAACCAAGCAACCAGTGCTGAGTTGCTGGCAAGTTTGGGTGAAATTGAAGAGACCGGTAAACCGAAATTGAAGCCCCTGCATTGGGACAAAGTGAGAACAAGCTCTGATCGCGAAATGGTGTGGGATCAGATGAAGTCCAGTTCGTTTAAGTAAGTTTCTAACTATAATGTTTGTTACCTTTTTGGCCTTTTAGTTTTAGATATCAGTTTGCTATTTTCCCTGATTGGATGTGAAGATTTCATGATGGTGTTTTGCTATAAAATTTCCTGATTCCTTTATCTTGCTTTGTGGATGGCATAATTGTTGTCTATGTTGCAACTGGTTTTCTTGAACTGAGTAACACTGAATTGGGTTGCCTGCAGATTGAATGAGAAAATGATTGAAACGTTGTTTGTTGTGAACACACCAAACCCAAAGCCCAAGGATGCAACCACAAACTCTGTTTCTCACCCGCCAAATCAGGAGGAAAGAATACTCGATCCTAAAAAGTCGCAAAATATTTCAATCTTGCTGAAAGCGCTTAATGTCACAATAGAAGAAGTGTGTGAAGCACTTTTAGAAGGTATATTTTCTCATTCCCTCCTTCAGTTATGACATAACTTTCTGTAGTGTTTTTGTTAGGCTGATAGATATTGATTGAGATATCGGACCTAGCCCTCTTACTCACTGGGAATTATTTAAAGAAAGAAGAGAATTGTTTCAGCAGTCAATTCGTTATCAAGACTTTTGCCAGCCTCTTTTTCATAACAGTGGAATGAACTTATCTATGTCACAATATTAGAAACTTATAATCAATTAATACGTTTAGGGTTGATAAAAATAGACTACAACAGGATTATTTTGCAGTATAGTTTCCTTTTTCAGTTGTTGTATTGGAGAAATTAGGTGCATTTCTTTCTTGCGAGAAAGGATATGCATGTTTCTTGTACAAGATCAGGTCAAATACAAGTGCATCGTGATAACTATCCATGATTATTAAATACCACTTGAAGCTAGTGGAAAGTTCTGTTCAGCAGATTTGCTGGTTATTTCAGAGTAGATTTTTCAGTTTCATCCCTTATTTTCTATTCTTACTCCAAGCATAGATTTGCAGGATAATCTCTCCTAAGATTCATCACTTTCATAATTTAGTTCACGGTTATCTTCAAATGATTATGCTACAGTCTGTGTGCGTAAGTGTTTGCTTAATTGACTATTAAGTCCAATTACCACGTTAAAATATGTACTAATATACTGATGATGCACCTAATTCAACTTACCTTTCAACAGGTAGTACTGATTCACTTGGAACAGAATTACTTGAAAGTTTATTAAGAATGGCACCAAGCAAGGAAGAAGAACGTAAGTTGAGGGAATATAAAGAAGACTCACCAGCCAAGCTTGGTCTGGCTGAGAAATTTTTGAAGGCAGTGCTTGATGTACCTTTCGCATTTAAAAGGATTGAAGCAATGCTTTACATAGCCAGTTTCGAGTCTGAAGTGGAGTATCTCCAGACATCCTTTCAAACAATAGAGGTAATCAATCGCTCACTGATCTATTGATTTCTTCAGGATTATTATTGCTGGTGTCGAGGTGATAAATTGATGTTCTGAATTTGATACAAGTTTTCCTTCGTAGGAACTAAGAAGTTTTTGTTGGTAGAAAATGAATATATAAAATGTACTTCACTAAAAGTCAATTCCTCGTGTACTTCTGGGCAAATGTGCAAATGTTACATTCGATGTCATGAGTTCAAGTTTCTTCATCTTCTGATCTGTGTTTTTCAGGCTGCCTGTGAGGAGCTACGACATTGTAGAATGTTCTTGAAGCTTCTGGAGGCTGTATTGAAAACTGGGAACCGCATGAATGTGGGAACGAACCGTGGCGATGCAGAGGCATTCAAACTTGATACTCTTCTCAAGCTGGCTGATGTGAAAGGCGCAGATGGCAAAACCACTCTTCTGCATTTTGTTGTACAAGAAATTATTCGAACCGAAGGTGCTCGGCTCTCTGACATTAATCAAACTCCAAGCTCTACTTCGAGCGAAGATGCCAAGTGTAGGAAGCTTGGCCTACAAGTTGTATCAAGCCTGAGTTCAGAGCTAGCAAATGTGAAGAAGGCTGCTGCTATGGATTCCGATGTTCTCAGCAGTGATGTGTTAAAAGTTTCCAAAGGAATTGCAAACATATCAGAAGTTGTGCAGTTAAACCAAACCACAGGATCAGATGAAAGTAATCAGAATTTCACAGAATCAATGAACAAATTCATCAGAATGGCTGAGGAGGAAATTCCAAAAATTCAAGCCCAAGAAAGTGTTGTCTCCTCCCTTGTGAAGGAGATTACAGAGTATTTTCATGGGAACTTGGCAAAGGAAGAAGCTCATCCATTTAGACTCTTCATGGTTGTAAGAGACTTTCTTGCAGTTCTTGACCGTGTCTGCAAAGAAGTTGGAATGATAAATGAGAGAACCACGGTTAGTTCAGCCCATAAATTCCCAGTGCCAGTTAACCCAATGCTTCCACAATCCCTTCCTGGATTACACGAGAAGCAGCAATATAATAATAGCTCTTCAGATGATGAAACTCAACCTTAGCTACATCCTCTTCAAAACCTGGAACCACCTCATTTTTCATTGCTCTGCCCAAAATTGTTGTAATTTATTTTTTTCTTGTCAAATTGTACAAATCCTTGCAAGAGACTTCCCTTTCTGTAGATTATATACTATATATATATATGTTAATATATTTTCTTTTGGGAGAGAAAACCTGCATATGTACTTCAGGTTCCATTAAACATTGATAACGCTTTCCAAAGAAAGAAAAAAAGCTTACAATTACAACACTTCTATTAAAATTTGACCCAATTAACTTCTTAATATTTTCTGAAAAAATTTAAAAGATTACGTACAATACTATAATGGCAACAAGTGAATATCTAATATATCCAGAAAAAATAAGTAATAAAAAATAATTAATAGTTTACAAGAAAATATATAAATATATTTAATTTAATATTTATTTTCATATTTGTATTATAAGTTAATGAATATAAAATATATCCAAAAAAATTAACTAAAATAAATTAATAATTTACAAGAAATATATAACTATATTTAATTTAACATCAATTTTCATATCTTTATTATAACTTCTTAGATATAGTTAGTTATCTTATTATATGTTATATCTACAATTAAAAAATTGAACTTAAAGATATAAGATATCCAATATTTAAAATTTGAAATTTATATATAAAAAGAGAGCTATAAATTCTTATTTACTTCTACACTTGATATTCAAAACTCTCTTGTTCAGCGTCATGAAGAGAGACAGTTACGTTTTATTCTTATTAAAAAGTAAATCTTTAAATAATAGACACTATTTATTCATTTAATTCATATCATTATAATATTAGTCTTATTTTTTATTTATTTAACTCTTAAAAATTAAATTTATACCTTTTTATAATTTAATTGGTTAGAAGGCTGATCTTAATCGTTTTGTCTATTTAAATCTTAAAAATTTAAATTATAGACATCAATAGCTGAGTTGGTTAGAAAATTGGTTCATTGATTTCAATCTAACAAATTTTAATTACCAATCTCTATAATTGGTTAGAACATTGATCTTAATTTTTTAATCTTTCAAATAAAGATTAAAATTTAAATTTTAAAGTATAGATATTTTCAGTTGGTTTTTTATTCGTTTAAATCTTAAATATTAAACTTACGGATCTTAATAACTCAATTACTTAAAATGTTGAATTTAATAAAATAATTACACTGTATAGTGTATGTCATAATATTCAAATCTAATTTTAATTTTGTAATTTATTTATTTTTGTATTTAATCAACTGTCCATGTTCAAAAATTTGTAATCTATTTTTATATTTAATTAATTGTTCAAGTTCAATTGGTAGATTCAACAATAATTTATAAATATATATATATATATATATATATATATATATATTATTTTATAAACATTTTCTTCACAGAAACAAATAAAACCAAAATTAAATTTTGTTTCATTAAAATTACATTGCTTTAAATTAGATTTGACAGTATTTGAATTATATTTAAATCTTATATTCATATATATATATATATATATATATATATATATATATATATACATAATTTTCAAAATATTCATATATGATATGTATTAGAAAGGCAGTACCTACAAGTTTTTTATAAAATCCTTAAAATAAAATTAAACTATAGGATTTAATTAGAGAGCGCTGGTGTTATAAGTCAAAGTTAAACAAATAATTTAGATTAAATTTAATTGGATTAGATTTTAAGTTTCAAATCAAACGTAATCAATGAAATAATGAAATTTTGATGTTTCTATTTCATCAAATCTTATTTATTTAATCCACATTTGTTTTTCCAAGTTAAAAAAAAACATTATATATTTTGACTAATCTTTTTAATTATTTATCAGGTAAAACAATGGCATTAAAAAAGAGTTGCTACATACGAAAGTGGAAGATAGTGAAAAAACCCAGAAGCAAGATAAAACGAATTCCTAGACGAAATTTGATACATTATAAAGATTCACGTGTCTTAGAAACCTTGAATGAAGAGAAAGAGTGTTGCGTAGGAAGAACCTCCATTGAAGAAGGAAAGAAAGAGTTTTGTGAAAATCATAGCAACAACAATGAGTTGGATAATCCAATTGAAAGTTTTGTTGATTTTGAAATTCCTGGAGATATTCCTGACCTTGATTCATTGAATAGTTTTTACTATGATTTAAACTTTTTTAAGAACATACCCATGGACTTTGAAAGTTCATGTGAAGAGATAATAAAGACACATTATTCTCAAAGTAACGATGAGGAAGATTATTCAAGTATGAGCATAGCTGATTATGTGATTAATTCCTGGAGATATTCCAAACATGGACCAATCAAAAGTTTATGACTCCAATTTCATTTTAGATTTTTTGAAAGATATATAGTACAAAATTATGTATAATATGTAGTCTTATATATTAATACAATGACTCAATTTTCTCTTTCACATTATATCAACGATTAAGAGATTAATAATTTTTAACATTTGGAATCACCAAAACGTAAACTTTTAAATAATATATAATCTTTGATACTTTAGAGTTATGTCATCAAATAAAACTTATCAACTTTTATAATTTAATAAACTCATGCATAAGGTTAAATACAAATTTCTAAATATATTTAACTCGATATTAGATGTGATAACTGTATTATAATTTTTTTTAAATATAATTAATAATTTATCATAATCGTTATTAAAAATTTGGAATTAATAAATAAACGTAGAGTTAAAAGGGCTTAAAATGTAAAATTAATATTTAAAAAAACATTTATATTATAGTGGTTTGTATTTGAATATAATTGTGTACATAATCATCGTCGTAAAAATTCTTTTTTTTTTAACCAAACGGAGATAATATTATGTTTAGAAGCACACTAAAAGGTAAATTTTTTACCTTAGAGTTATTTTATTTATTTAGATCTTAAATATTAGAGTTTTATTAATCTTAAGTAACTCCTTTGATTAGAATGTTGGCTTAATGAGAGGCAAAACATTTAGTCTCTCACGAAATCTTTATATAAGTTTTTAAGATATAATTAGTTAGATTACGATTTGATATTAATAGATCAAGAGAAGAAAAAGGTTAATATATGAAATTAGTAGAAACAAAATCTTATTATCATGATATAGTATTAAAAGTTTATTGAACTTTTACTAGTTTAAATAGAGGGAAGATATTATAAATTTTGGTGTTTTAGAGATAAAGAATAATTTGTATTAATTCAAAACGTTTATCTTATGTCAACCTTATATTAATTTATAACATGATGTTCATAACTAATCACTTCTAAAAGAAGTGTTGAAACTTTCAAATAAAATTAGACCTCCATTAAAGTGTGTTGGGTTGTAAACCAAATTTAATAAAGTTCACTTGATATTGAGAAGAGTTAAAATTTATTTGATTCTTATTTTCTCCTTTTGTTTTTTAGCGAGAATGTTTTTTTTTTAAGATAACATTTAATTGTATTAAATTGAAGTATTTATAAATTTCAAAACAAACTTATTAAATCAATGAAATAATTATCTTTGATGATCTTCTATCAAGTTTTATTTATTAAATCCATACTTTTTTATATAGAAAAGAACTGATTATATATTTTTATAATTTTGTTTTATTTAAACATTAATGAGGTCAAACAATAACATTAAAAAAAAAAAATCATATGGAAAAGTTTAAAATAATGAAAAGGCTTAAGAACACGACAAAACAAATTCCAGACAAAACTTGTTATATTGTAAAAGCAGTTTACACAAACATATAAAATAATATAATAAATGCTTTTTTTTTAAAGGTGATTTTTTCTAAAATAAAAAACTCAAACAGAGATGCTCATAATTTGCATATAATTATGCATTATTGCTATTCTGTCTACTTATTTCTTAAAAGAAGTGCAATAATACAGTTAGTGTGGCAAGCAAATAACTAACATCAAATCAAAATATCACAGTTTAGTTGACAGAGAGAACTATCTGAACAAGACTTCTAAGTAGTAATAATATAATTTGCTACATATGCATGAATGATTGTAGAGAACTCATTGTAAAATTTCCTTCATTAACTTATGTTTTCCTCATACTACTTGCACAACAGGTGCCTACTGAACTGAGCTTAATATACTTGTCTAAGCACCAGTTGCCTTCTAACAAGTCCAAATGATGCTAGATATACAAGGCACACTAGTGCCCTCTAACACGAAGCAGAAAGATTTATTATACAAGAGCTAATCTCTGAACTTCTGCTCACATAACTAGTGATGGATAACTTGAATACTTCATTAGCTAATTGTTGTTTTTCTTCTTATGTTCTAAAGAACTCATTCAAGTTGTCAGCATCTATGCGCTCTAATATTCGGCGAGCTTCCTCCTCCGTGGCCGGTACTACATTTCGAAGTTTAAATCCATTTGTTGTCGCCCTAGCTTCTGGACGTACTGTGAAAGTGAAATGGAAAGTATTTGATACCTGTAGTCACATAAAAAGAACAGAACAGACAATGTTGATTACAATCTTTAATAACTTGGAAGTTGCAAGAAAAAAAAAGTGCACTGATAATGATTGTGTATTGTATAAAGTGCAGTTCAGTACAGACTAACCTCACTAGAACGCAACTCAGGTCGTGTAACATGAGCAACAACTTCAACATTGATAAGTGGCTGATCTGGATCGTGAACCTCCGTGTACAGAACACAAGATTTGAGACGCAAAAAGTCCCCTACATCTACCTGTTAAAGGGTTCATTTTACCACATAGAAGAGCAGAATGTATGAAAAATCGTAAAGCACACATAAGTTAATATCACAAATTAAATGGTGAATCACCCCCTAAAAACACTGTTGTAAACTTGTAATACTTCCCCCTTCCTTTTCCCTCTCGCTCATTTCCACAAACTCAAAACACGATTACTCAAAACACGATCTTGGATGTCAATTCAAACAATTTGAAACCCGTACATTTTTTTCTTGCAAGTAACTCTAGTTGATTCAAACTGGTTATAGAAATTTCAAAGATTGTGCCAACTTTGTACATAATACACAATCATGTAGCAGACAAATTTTGATATTAGTAAAAGGATGGATAAAATACTCACAGGTCTTAGGAAATCAACATGGTCAACTTCTAGAAAGCAAGGAACTAATCCAGCAAAGGCATATGCTGTTGAGAAAGCCAATTCAAATGCACGATGCATCAAGAAACCTCCAAATATTCGCCCATGGATGTTCCTTTGCTGTGGCTGGCATATTAGGGCGTTCTCAAGACTGGTATCCTTTAGAAGAATGCTGTCTCTGTCAGCTAAAGCTGGCATGTCACAAAAGATTCTTCCTTCAGCCAAAAGGGCCTTAAGTCTATTTCTCTCCCCATCCTCGAACTCTCTCTTTTCCCCTCCTCTTTTCCTTTTTCTCAAATTACTTCTTGCTTCAGCTTGTTCAAAAAGAATTTTTTCATGAGCTGTTTCTGGCGAAAGTCGATTCACTGGAGCAGCTTTCCCAGTTTTTGAGTCTCGAGCAACAAATATGAAGTTGGCCGTTAGTGCTATGGAGTCTGCATCATTGCCCTCTGCACATATTTTGATGATGCATAACTTGTGGGGCAATTGTGGTTAAAATATAAAAGAAAACAGCGAGTATTGGAGGAAATTAAAAAAATGAAAATGAGATTCTATTATGAAGGTTTGTATAATTGTTATCTAGAAGATACAATCAAAACTTCTTTGCTTTTGAGGTCTATGCAACATGGTGTACACTGCTACGAATAAACCATCAATTATATACATTGTCACAGCCGCATAAGCCCTAAGAAATGTACCTTCATTGGACTGAGTAACCTCCAGTTGAATCTCTATTGAGGAGTGACCAACCCATATAACAGAACCAACTATTTTGAGATCAATGTCAACACTAATTGGCTTCTTTAGTACAATCTTATCGACAGAAGCAGTGACAACTATAAGTGGTCTCGTTGTGCTAGCTTCATCAGAACAGTGCTATTCCACAATCAAACAGCAAACACCACAGTCAAAAACAGGTACATGAAATGAAATCTTTCTTAGAATTTACAATGGAAACATTTTGCTCCAAATAACAGAAGCAAGCTAGCCAAGTACCCCACTTAACTCTAAAATGTGAAAACTTCCTGTCTTCTAGAATATAAACAAGTATCAAACTACAGTTGACCTACTACATAACAAACAAGTCATTCACAACAAATGCCACATCAAAGTCCAACCTAGTTTGAACTTAAAAAATTCTGCCTTATCATCATCGTTTACTACTTTACACCACACTCAATGACGAAATCATATTACAAACATTGCCCAGATACCCAATTCTTACAAGAATTTAATTAAAATGCAATATGAACTACTATCGTTCAATTTCAACTATAGATGATGTAAGGTTATTGGCTTTTATAATAATAATTGTCTTAAAAGTTATGTCAATCATGAAGTTTGACTGCTTTTCAGTGGAAAAGCTTCTACATTGTAGACGAGAATTAAAATCTTTGCATAAAAACCTAAAAATTACAGAAAAGGCAGCTGGAAATAATTAAAAAAAAAAATCTGAAACCACAACAGCCTCAGTTTGAGTTCAACCTCATCACCATTGGCCATCCAATCATATAACAAGCAATACCCAAATAACGAAATCCAGAAACCCCTTAAAAATCCCAACATCAAAAAGAATAATTGAAACTTTAAGACTGCACCTTGACCGAAATAGTTCCAGCCACAGCATCAAGATCTTCGAGCAACTTCCCAATTCGGACCTCATTCCAGGGATCCCTATACTGTTCTCTGAGCACAAAATCAGATGAGAAGTTATACAAAATGCTGGTCCTGCTCTGCGAGGGGGTTCTGGTGAGCAATTCACTCTGCGGAGGAGCATCCCTCGGAGGGTCAAGAAGCCTCTCGAAAATTTGGCTCCGCGCCTCCCACAGAGCCGTGGTCACCGGCGAATGATACATCCCCGGCCACAGGGCGATGGGTTTCCGGTCGCCTGAACCGTTGGCCGGCGGAGGGTTCTCGAAAGGCGCGGTGGCACTGGCGAACGTGGAAGCAACCGGAATTGTTCCATTCACAGGAATTGTGTAGTTGGAAGGAGAAGAATTCAAATCCATTGGATTTTTTTTCCGTCTTTGGATGTTTCCTCTACTTTTCCTGAGTCCAATTACAATCTTAGTGGTTGAGTTAAAAAAACAATAATAACTTTAAAAAATAAAAATAAACATGGTGTGAAAATAAGTTTGACACTTCAACCACTTGTAAATAATCGACAATATAAATTTTAACATAATTATTAATCAACCAAATTATTAATATTGTAGTTTATAATTAAATAAAAATATAATTAGTATAAAAAAGTAATTTTATATTAAACAGATTTTGTGGTGAACAATGTTAATACAGAATCGTTTGTGACCAGATATTATTGGTGACATGTCTCAGTTATGAAAATACTATATCAATTTATTGCATATATCAAAATTAATTTATTCATTTAAAAATATGAAAATTAAAAGATTTCTTTAAAAAAATATAAAAAGTAGAGCTGGTGAATGGTGCAATGTGTGCCACAAATTTGGAAGGAAGAGGTCCACACCATTTACACCAGGTTCATATAAGCTTTAAATTTAATAGTTATACTTTATTTCTAAATATGTTTATTTATTTATAATATGAAATAAATATTTACAACCTATTTATAAAATATAAAATATATGTATAAAAAACTAAAATATCTTACAATTATACTAAATTTTAATTAAATAATATATAATTTGTATAAAGATATTTTATAAAAAAGAATAAATTTTAATTCTCTCCCTCAAGTTAATGCATCTATAAATTTTATATGTTGAACTTAACAAAAGATTTGAAAATATTTTGTTTGAGATCACTTTATTAAGATATTAATTAATTGATCTTTAAATTAATTATGGGTAATTTTTCGATTTTTTTTTATAATTTTTGTTTGATAAAGAATTTATCTACTTTGTGATCATATTGTATTAGATTATGAGTAATATAATAAGCAATCTTATTGTTATAATATTATTTAATAAATTGGATAGATGGACATCCAATATTTTGTACAAAAAATCTTAGTCATAAATCTTTACAAATTTTAAATATCAAACCTTTAAAATCATATTATGTGTTTGATTGAGAGACTATATTTTATTTTTTTTCTTCTCCATATAATAAGATTACCACCAATAAATGTAAAATAGCTTGATGTTGATCATCAATTTTTCAATAATCAAGTTCAATCAACATAAGTATATACATCAATTTGTTGATAATATTTGTACTTTTGGTGGAACAATAATCATTTACAGGTGTTGACTTTATATATCTTAAAACATACATAATTACATTTATATGTTACTCTCCAATATTATGCATAAATTGACTAACAATACTTAATGCGTAGGCCAGATCTGATCTTGTGCGTGCTAAATACATCAATTTCCCTACTAGTCTTTTATATTTCAATTTATCAACTAGGATTTAATCTCATATAATAGATTATTTCAAACTTTCCCTCTCATTGGTGTATTTATTAATTGGTGTATTTATTAACTAAGAAGTTGACATACTTGTTTCTTGTAACAAGTCTAAGACATATTTTATTTGGGACAAAATTTCCCCTTTTTGAATTTAGATACTTCAATTCCAATAAAATATTTTAAGGGACCAAGATCTTTCATTTCAAACTTCTTTGAAATGAAATCTAGATACTCTTACAATGTTTTACTTTTTTCTTGATCATTTCTTATAACAATCATATTATTTATATATACCATAACTATAGTTATCTTATATTCTTGAACCAAGAATAAAATGTTATTTGAATTACTTTGATGATATGCAAATATTGTCATATAGATTTTTCCTATTTGCCTACCTTTCTTAAGAGTTGAATTTGAGTATTATATTGAGGTTTTTATCATTTTATGAAAAAATTTTGAATAATAAACTTACCTCTTTTTTATTTCATTAAATATAAGCAAGTTATTATTGTACAATCATCAATAAAAGATAAACAGATACACATAAAATTTGGTTTTAGATGCACTTCATACATCACAATGTATCACCATAAAAAGGTTGAGAACTTTTATTTAAAATTAATGGAAATGAAGTTCTATGACTCTTTGTAAATTTACAAACATTATAGTGAAAATTATAAATATCGTATTTTTTAAATAAAGTAGAAAATAAATATTTTAAATACCTAAATAAGACATGACCAAGACGTTTTTATTTTCTCCCTTAAAGTTATCAACTATTATTAAAAATATTAACAATCTTACCAAAATTATTCATAATTACATTTAGTCTAACTACTTTTTCATTTTATTTTAGAGTGAATACCTATTTTTTTTCCAACTCTGATGTTTGTATCTCTTTCCTGTTATCATAACATACTTTTAAAATAACATTAAAAATTTAGTGAATTTGAACAATATAATAAACTAATTTCATTTTAAATATATCAAATCTTTTTTCCTGCATTTATAAATTTTAAAGGATTCAAACACTAAAATAATCACCACTCTAATATCAATTTAGAAATTATAAACAAAAATATATACATTCTCTCTTATAAAATAAAATGTGTACAATCTATTTATAAAATATAAAAATATGAATATTTAATTAAATTAATAGGAAATTAATATATTTTATAATTATAAATTTTTTTAATAAAATAATATTACGATATTTTGTAACAAGAATAAAAATGAAATGAATTTCAACACTATTATTGTATTTTATATTTAAATTTATTAATTTTTATATTATTTACGTTTAAAATTATGTTTAAATATTATATATATGCATTAACTAAAGGAATGAATCCGTCACGTCAAGTGGTACCCATTGAAAAATTAGGTGAGATTTGAATTTCACTAAAATGTAAGTTTTAATTTCGAGCTATTTATACTTGATATAATTTTTAGAAATTAAAATATTATATTTTATATACTTTTCGAGAATATATATATATATATATATATATATATATATATATATATATATATATATATATATATATGATGCGAACATAAAGGCACTAGTGAAAAAGGGGCTTTTACGTCAGGTATTTAGCGCTTTTTACGTCGTATTTAAGTCCGACGTTAAAGCGGGAGACGTAAATTTACGTCGGACCCTTTTGCCCGACGTAGATTTACGTCAGTTATCAAGATCTGACGTAATTTTGCGTGGCATATACACTAAACAGACGTAAAAACCTTTTCAATTTAAAAAAAAAAACAGAAAATTTACGTCGCATATGGTATACGCGACGTAAATTTACGTCGCATATACCAATACGCGACGTAAATTTACTGTTTTTTTTTTTAAATTGGGTTTATTTACTCTATTTTACAACTAAAACCTGCAAATATTACAACCAGACAGTCTAGAGGTTCAGTTTTCTTTAGCTAGTAAATTAAAAATATAATATTATATAATTCAAACTACATAATAAAACAATATAATACAAACATACAAACTAAAAAATCTATTACAAACTAAGCTACCTATACAAACTAAGCTACCTATACAAACTAAACTAAACTACATAATACACACAATATAATATGAACAAGAACTTAAAAAATAATGTACTAGAATTGTTGAACAAAAAATTTTGTCCATTGTTCTCTAATTTCTGTAATCTCAGATTCTGGTAATGGAGATGGATCTTGAAATACCTGAAACATGAATTTGACTCTTGTAAACATGCAACATGAATAAAGTTAAATAAACTTAACTAATGTTAAAAGTAATTACCTCCGTCCAAGAATCAATTAAACACGCACAAACTATGGCTCTCATCCAATACATTACATAGTAACCACATTCAAACGAGTCGGTTTGCTTATTACACTGAAATGATGAAAAAAACATAATATTATTTTCAAAATTGAAATACAAACAATAATTATGGTATTCACTTATATAAATAAGTTTCTAACCTTAGGATAAATGAACTGCAAAGTCTTTGTTCTAGGTTTTCCACTTAGAACATTAGTTCCGAACACGATTCTAAGTGAAAAAAAGTCATATATTATTCAATATGTATTCACAATTTAAAAACATAATTAATGAATAAAAGATAAAGTTACCCTTGTAATAAACTTTTCATTTCTTGACTCGGTTTCCGATGTAATGAACAAAACCACACCACAGTGTAATCCCGGGGCATGATTACAATTAACTGCCAATGGGACCTACATTGTATGACATAAAAATTAGTTACAAAAATATAAATTAAAATACAAATTAAAATACTAACCCTTCAATGTATGGAGCCAAATATATATGTCTTCTTGAGTCACTCATCCATGTTTGCATATATTGTTGGATTCCAACCTTTGTATTTCCAGATTTTTGGACTGGATTGAGGCTCAATAAATCCGTATACTTCGGATTTTTCTTGTTCCACACTCAAATTGTCAAGGTACCTAAAACAATTAATTATAAGTTGAATATAATTATTATAATCTTAGAAACATAAATGAAAATGATTTACATTGCCCACAATTGTATGATGGAAATGTTTAACATGCAATTTCCCCAAGCAATTTCTAAAGCATCGGGCAAGGAAATGTACAATGGAACACCTGGAATTGTCAATTCCAAACACTCTAACATCTCATTGTATCCGACACGGTCTCTTCCTCAACCGTGGTAATACGGATAACAACATAGAGATGGGATCATCATCACATTCTGTCAGATCCTCATCAATAATATGTTGTTTTTTATGCTTAGCACGACGCAAGTCCTCCTAAACAAATGATAACAATTAATTAAACATTTATATAATTATAATACTAGAAAAGAGTAAATAGACAATATGTATATATATATATATATATATATATATATATATATATATATATATATTACCTGTCCGTGCCGATAGTGGCATAACCAAACGTCTTGGCCAAGCCAAGAATGTCCCGCTTGCCCGCCCCACTAATTGAATCTCTTCATTAGGAAAAGGCACCGGCTCATTAGCATCATGAACTTCATCAACTACTACTCGTGTCCAGTCCGGCTGTAGAGGGACACCATGGATGGTTAAGTCACCCTCAAAAACTCGACCAACGACCCACTAGACGCGGGGGTCATCTTCAACATATAACTCACACTCGGTGTGATGCATCGATCCGAGTATATTCTCCTGAAGGATCAACAGTAGTAGCAGCACAACTCCCTTTAGTGCCGACTCGAACAATATCATGTTCAATTGTTTGAGGTGTTCCTTGAGTCTCGTTGCTCGAGAGCGGGCGAGAGATTCAATTTTCTCATCAAACTCTTGCTGCAAGGACTCGCCTTATTTGATTTAACTTTTCTTCAAACTGCATCTCCATTTTATGCAAGGCCTCCTGGCCGCAAGAGTCAGCAGTGGTCCTTCGTGATGTTGGACCAAAGTAATCACGAAGGCCCCGTGTTCCACCAGCACCACGCACACGTCCCGAGTAATCTGGTTTTCCTATGGCTGTCGCCAATATATCTTGTCAACCATGAGGAATAAATGATCCTTGGCTGGTCTGCTCAACTAAATCATCCTACAACACATTAACAATAATTAAGTCATACACTAACTTTCAAATTAGAATCAATTCAAATTGACATTATAACTTACGATTTTTTGAGCAATGATTCGTGCAGACTCAGAAGTCATTTCGCCATCAGATTTTGTCCGGGCTGCCTTCCACATCTGATAGCGAGGGGTGGAGATGCAAGGTCAGTAGAATCAACTCCTGCTGACTCTTCTGTGGATTTCATGAGACGTTGCTCCAATAATGCATACCCTCCTCGTGACAATACATGGGGTGCATCATTCAACCTCTGACGTTGTTGGGCAGCTTGTCTTTTATCCTGCCAAGAGGGGTCCAACTAATTTCAACTCTTGCATAGACACAAGACTCTTAACATTTGAGGAGTATCCTTGTGGCACTTTGACCTCATGTAAACACTCACAAAAGCTTCTCTTTTCTTTCTTTGATAGAGTATGACAAGCTGGAGGTAAGTAAGTGCGTTTTCCAACTGATTGTGGATGTAATTCAGAACGTATACCCATGTCTGTCAAATCTTGTCTTGCTTTTATTCCATCTTTTGTCTTTCCTTTTATGTTAAGCAATGTCCCAATTATACTATCACAAACATTTTTTTCAACATGCATCACATCTATACAGTGTCTAACTTCCAACTTACACTAATAAGGAAGATTGAAGAATATAGATTGTTTCTTCCAAATGTTTTTCTCATTGGATTTCTTTTGGGTCTTTCCAAACACAATATTAATATTTTTCACTTGCTCATATACTTGTTCACCATTGCGTGGTACTCGATGCAACTCGCATTCTCCCGACATCCATTAAATGCTTTTTTCATTTTACGATATGGATGATTAGCAACTAGAAACTTTCTATGCCTATTGTACGCAGCTTTTTGTCCATGTTTCAATTGGATATAACTTGTGTCTTCTTGACATATAGGACACGCTAAATGACCTTTCACACTATAACCGCTCAAATTACCATATGCTTGGAAAATCATTTATAGTACAAAATAACATTGAACGCAACTCGAAATTCACTTCGTGATATGAATCAAATACATCCATTCCTCGTTTCCCACAACATTTTCAAATCATCAATTAAAGGACTAAGATATACATCTATGTCATTTCCTGGTTGTCGAGGTCCTGAAATCATCATAGATAACATCATATATTTTCTCTTCATGCATAACCAAGGAGGAAAATTGTAAATGATCAACATAATCGGCCATGAACTATGTTTACTACTTAAATTTCCATAAGGATTCATCCCATCCGTAGCTAATCCAATTCTCAAGTTTCTTGGCTCTGCACCAAATTCTGGAAAGGTTTCATCAATCCTTTTCTATTGTGGAGAATCAGCTGGATGTCGAAGAAGATTGTCACATTTTCTACCATTTGCATGCCATGTCAAGTTTCTTGCATCTTCTTTTATGGCAAATAATCTTTTAAACCTAGGTATAATTGGCAAATACCATAACACCTTAGCAGGGGGACCATCTAGTTCTTCCTCACCACTACTTTCCTCAACTTTGTTTTTGAACCTTGACAAACCACATGTCGGACACATCTTTAATTTAGCAAAATCATTTCTGTACAATATACAATCATTAGGACATGCATGTATTTTCTTGTACTCTAAACCCATTGGACATAATATCTTCTTTGCCTCATAGTTACGAATAGGTAATGTATTATCTTCAGGAAGCATCTCCTTCAACAACTCTAATAATTCGGTGAAACTTTTATCAGTCCATCCATTTCTTGCTTTTAAAGTAAACAATTTTAAAGTTGCTGATAATCTTGTAAAACTACATCCTATGTACAATTGTTGCGCAAAATCAGATTTCAAAGAATCATATAGATGTGCTTTCATAAAATTTTCTTCACCAATATCACGTATCATATCCTCTAGATTATCATTCATCCATTCATCAAAATTGTCTGTAGTTGACACAGTTGGGATGTCTAATATTTCTCCATGCCATGTACATATTGTATAACTCTTAATAATACCATAAACAAACAAGTGATCACGTATATCCTCAAGTTTATGACGAATTTGATTCAAACAACGAACACATGGACAATAATATGTCCCTTTCATAGCTTTTCCATTTTCACTAGCAAATTTCAAAAATTCCTCAACTCCCTTTTCGTACTTTTCACTAATACGACGTGCATTCATCCAACTTCGATTCATATTATATTATAAAGTTTCGTCACTCGTAGAGATTTAAAAATTATATGTAAAAAAAATTAATATACAAACAACAAAGCACGTTCCAACAACAATGGAGTGTGTAAACCGAATGCACTCAAATAAATAAACAAATAATTACATTTCAATAACAATCCAGTGGAGACATTCATACTATAACGTGATTGAGATCCCCAAAAACAATCACGGATTCAATGTAAACATATAGCAATGACATAGAACACTAACCTCGAGTGTAGACGAAAACTGATTTCAAACTCGAATCCGATCGGGGAGAAAGATCAAGTTCATCAAATGACACGATAATGTATATGCTTTTCATTGTAAAACTGCTCGAAAATGGTGTGCAGAGGTAGCTGTTGTCGTCGTTCTCGTCGTCGTTCTCAAAAACCCTGGTTGCGCGAGACGAGGAAGTGGGTCTGGAGGGAAATAAAATAGACTTTTTACGTCGCGCATCCCAACATGCGACGTAAAAAGCCATCTTTTACGTCGCGCCTCCCAGGTGCGACGTAAAAGAGGTTTTTTACGTCGCATACTGGGATGTGCGACGTAAAATTTTTGTCCCATATTTACAAAATTGCCACCGCGTTATACATGCATGCGACGACAATTGGGTGACGTAAAAACCCTATTCTGCACTAGTGAGGCCCAAAGGAACAAGACCAAGACTTAGGTAGACCTATGACAAGAGGCAGACATCCAAATATGGAGGAGTCTAGACCTATCACATGCATGTTTGGAGAGCTAGACATCCAAACATGGAGGAGTCTAGACCTATCACATGCATGTTTGGAGAGCTAGAGACCCAACTAAATGATTTAGTTATTATTATTATTAATATTTTATTTGCTACAGTGGGGATTTGAACCCAAAACCCAAAGCTTATAATGTCTTCATTGAACCATCTGGGTAACATAACTTTGCTTGGGATATTAGGATTTTAATTTATCTTTATTTCCTGTAATGAGACAAACTCATAAACTTAAGTTGTATTAAACATTTGAGAATTCAGAATGAACGTACGTAATATTCAGAATCACTTTGTGAGTTGTTGCTCTGCTAGGGTTCTTCCTTGCATCACTTGATCTTATCAAGAATTATTCGATTCTTGTGGCGATCCTTCTTGACTTATCAAATATTCTTATTTGTAACATTTACTGTATCATTTATTTTTTTTTGTATTTTTTATTTCCAATCCAATCAACTCTTAAAATTTAACCCTAAATTGTTCTCTTCTATTCTATTCTCGTGAACTTATATGATTTTGCATGTCGTTATTTCACAGTATAACTAAACAAATAATTTAAACATCATTCATTTTCAGTCTAAAACAGTGTCGTATACAATCGGTATGATTTTTAAAATCATTATGGTAAAGTGAATGGCTTATCTTTGACCATATATAGTAATTTATGATGAAAAAAAGAGTGTCAAATTATATAAACATTGTTTTATTGAGGAAACAATCTCTAAAATAATTATCTTCTATTTATAAAAACTCTTATCATTTAGGAATTTAAGTTAATACTAATTATCCTTATTTTATTTAAAGAAGCGTCTTTTGAAAACAAATCTTAATAGAATTTAATTTAAAATTCAAATCAAAGAATATCTTTTACAATAATTGATTTTAATAATATATACTTTCAATAAAAGAAATAGGAGATTAGAAAAAAATTGAAAAAAGAAAAAAAACTGTTCATTAATGATACAAGATGGTGTGTCATTTTCTGTGACAATACTTGATAGTGATATCTGAAAATTATTAGGACAAAAAATAAACACTAATTTAGTTTATTTCCATTATACAATACTTTGATACCTTTCCTTTCACAATCTTATTTTTATCAAACTCTAAATTTAATTCCCATTTTCCACGAATTTACAATTAGCTTAGCATTTTTTTGTCAAGAACATTAATGTGGTATTGAATCATCCCTAGGAGCTCCTAAGTCAAAGCTCTCAATGTGAAGTTCCAACCACAATGTGTTACAAAACACCCAATGACCTTGATTTTCATCTATTGTAGGTTGCATGTTAAAGATCACAGAGGTTGTGCTTTTCCCTATGGTCCTATATTAGGCACTACAAGCAGTTAATTTGCATTTAGTTACCAACCATATATAGCATATAAAGGAGAAACATTTTGCAGCTAAGTGAAGGAATTGTAATTGAGCAATTAGTTCAAGACTAATTCATGTCTTGACATCACACATTGAATTTTCTGAAATCATCATTGCACTTGATCACCTTAGAATTGTAAAATGTAGGAATTAAAAACACAATGGTTTTTGACTAGGGTTGCACACCCACTTGAGAAATTGAGAAATTGAAGTAAAAGGGGTAAATTCTTTTATTTAATTTTGGAGGTGTCATTTCTACAACGACGCACCAGGAAAGCCATAATAACGTTTCAATTTGCTGAACAGTACTTGGTACCGGAAGCAGCTAAGCTAGTCAGAAATTCAAAAGTGTTTTTGTGAGATGTCCCTGCCTCGCTGACAGCTTGTGCGGCCAGAGTCTTCCATTGCATGACTTTGCTTTTCACCTCTTTGCCTCTCTCACTCTCCGTCATTATTTCCATTATGCAATGTTTCAGCACTTCTCCCCTCACAATCTTTTTCTCATCAACTGTAGTTCTGATTCCTATCTTCCACACATCTGCAATTAGCTTAGCATTTGTACTTTGGTCAGACCAATATGGCATTGCCACCATTGGAACTCCTGAACTCAACCCTTCCAATGTAGAGTTCCAACCACAATGTGTCACAAAACACCCTATAGCCTCATTAGCTAGGACCTTTAGTTGGGAGCACCACCCTACTACTAAGCCCTTCTCTGATCTCTTTTCAAAATCTTTTGGAAGCTTAGTTTCTTCTGAGGTCCTCAATACCCACAAAAAGTAGTTTTCACTATCTCTTAAACCGTAAGCTATCTCCTTTACTTGCTCTTCGTTGAATACTGCCATAGACCCGAAAGAAACATAAACAACAGACTGTTTTGGTTTATCATCTAACCATTTCATGCATTCTTCACTCTTAAATTGAGTAACACCTTCATCTTCATCATCTGTAACTGGCTTGTTTGAAGTCATGGATGTTATGCATGGCCCTATGCTCCTAAAATTAGGCCAAATCTTCTTTATCCAATCTGTTACCTACAAGCAATTTGTATTCAATTACAAACCATTACTATACATATCAACATTATGGAATTGCGTAAGACACTATACAATTTTCCTTACGCGTGATGATATATTGATAATTGGGTCATTTAGTTGATAATTTTAATAATAGAATGAATACTATTATTATCATGTTAAACAAAAATGGATATTCTAGATCCAGCTGTGTACCATCATTTTTCTTTCTTTATCTGTGTCTGTGTTTATATCTATACGCAACTGAAGTACATGTGAAAATTAATTAGAATTAATAATTTGTGTGGTGAAGATAAGCACAAAAGTGTTACAACACTTGACTTGCTTACCTACCTCTTTTTCCATGTGGTAGAATGAATTGCACAGGATCCAATCAGCTTTGTCAATATTGGAGAACTGACCCACTAACAAATCAAGCACAGCTGGAATATCTGAATCTGTAAAGAAAAAGAATGAGGGCATGTCCTCGATTGAAAGTTTAGGCAACAAAGGAAGGGAAATCTCGTTCTCTGTGATGGGAACACGCAACTTCCCTTGCTGGACATGGTAGTATATGCTATTAACAAACATATTTTGAGTGAGAAAAGCAGCCGCAACTATCCCAAATCTCTTTGCAACCTCCAGAGGCCAGGAGAAGAATGAATCGTAAACAACACAATCAACAGGGTCACCTGATCTATCAAGTTTGTGAAGAAGCTCAGCCAAAGTCTTTGACCCCACTTCACAAAACCGTTCCAAGTAGGTTTTGTGGTTACCTGCTTCATCGATCCCTCCATTGTCAAACCCATCAGAAATAGTTTTAAGTGCAATAGAAGCAGTCACATTCTGCAACTTCTTGTAGAAGGAAAGGGTGGTGACCAGGGTCACTCTCACCCCTTGTTGCTGCAACATCTTGGAGAAGTGATGCATGGGGTTAACGTGGCCTTGAACTGGATATGGTAAGACCAAACAGTGAACCATGCTTCCTATGCTTTTCTTTTCTATCGCTAGATAAAACCTCTTTCTTCCTTCCTTCCGGTGTAGACTCAGAGGGTCTATTTATACAAAACTTCTATTTTCACAACCGCCATTACACAAACATCTATCCTACCCTCCATTATCAGTTATTCTTATTATAATATTACTATTTATTATTTTATTACCAAAATAAGCACCACTACTAATAACTCTTCAAACAAGGGAAATTATTTTGAAAGTGTAGGATATGATATTGTCATTGTTAAAATCCTTGGAAACTGTGACTTGTATTAATTTGGAAAAATTTTGTTTCGCGATTCCTTTTTCGATAAAAATCCATTAAACAATCACATAAACTAATATAATAATAATAATACTTAATATAATATTTACAGTTGTAAATAGGTGGTCGGCGTGTCAATATTGATTTAATGGAAAGAGACGCACGTTAACCTTTTAGTCACCCTTCCTACTGAGAGAAAAAAAACTATTGATTTAAAGTAATTAAAAAAAAACCTACATGAAAAGTCGTGGTAGCACGGTATTACGACACAGATTGTGCTTCCAATTTTTATTTTTCTGAACGTTTTGATTTTTTTTCTTCTAATCAAATCGTGATATCTAAACTATGTAAACCAAAACGGATGGGTACATCTTGTTTTGGTCCATTTCATCTTTTGTCTATTAAAAGCAGGATAGGACGGACGAGTATGCTGTAGTCATAATAGACTATAGATTTTCACCCGTCTGACAAGAGACGGGTTGCTGACCCGTTATAATTTAAAAAATTAATTTTTTTTTAAATAAATTTTTTTAATAAATTTAATAATAAAATTATTATTTATTTATTTATAATTAATATATATATATATATATATATTATTTTAATTTAATAATATAAATCAACACATTATTTTAAGAAATTATAATTTAGAACAGTAATAAAATTTACATAATAACAAATATATATATATATATATATATATATATATATATACGTTATAACTTATAAAATTGATATTTTTTATATTGAAAAATTTAAATACCTATATATTTTTTATATTATTCTCGCTTAAGTAATTCTTACACCTTTAATTCAAGTCATAAGGATAAAAATAACCAAGTACTTAGGATGAACAAGTAAAACAGGAGAGAAACTTGTGTTTCAATAAGGAGAATATTTTGTGAGAGTGAAACTTTTTTAATTCTCTTTATAAAATTTTAACTTTATATATTATATTTATAATTAACTTTATTATAATAAAAAAAATTATTAATTAGACAAGTCAGCGGGACTAGGCGGAGCGGGCTGGTGGGCTAAAACCACCAACCCGCCCGCCATATTGTGGTCAGCTCGTCGGGTCCGACCCGTTTTGTCATCCCTAATCTAACCACATATATATTATAATAATTATTTACATTATTATTTTTAATTTTAATTTTATTATAATAAATAAAAAATTAATAATAAAATGTTAATAATAATACTAATAGAAAAATAATTAATATTTATTATTTATTATGAATATTAATATTAGTATTAACTATTATCAAGTAATAAATATAATAATAAGTATTAATTATTTTATTCATAATATTTTTATTTTTAACATTATTTTTATTATTAATATCATTTTTAATTTCATTATTTATTAGAAAAATTATCATAATTATTTTTTATTAATGGTAAATTTTATAATGGTTACATTAAAACTAAAAAAACTCATTAAGTAACTATTATTATTAACTAAAAAAATGTTTTACATTATTTACTAAATAATTACAATTATTAATTTTATATTATAATTATCACTATGATACTTTAATTAATTTTAATAAATAATAAATATAATAATATTAAGTATTAAAGAAAATTTTCAGTCAATGATTTTTTGTTTGTTTTCAATGTTATTTTTTTATTTAATAATAATAGTTATTATTTAATGAATTCTTTTAGTTTTTAATATAATTCTTCTTAAAACTTATCATAAATAAGAAATAATTATGATAATTTTAATAAGAAGTAATAAAAATAATATTAAAGATAAAAATATTATAAATAAAATAGTTAATACTTATTATTAATAATAATATTATTAGTATAATTAATTATTAATAATATTAACACTTATAATAAATATTAATTATTTTATTTATTATGAGTATTTTATTTATTAAAATAAAGTTAACATTAATGATAATAAAATAAATATAAATAATTATTAATATATATATATATATATATATGAAATTGTACTATTATGAATTCACTAGAAGATAAAAAAAAACTAACTGTAGTAAGAAGATTTTTTTATTTTATTTTAAGCTGTACTATTATGTGACTTATCTATTTATATAAAAATATTATAAATAAAATAGTTAATACTTATTATTATTATTATTATTAATATTATTATTATTATTATAATTAATTAATAATAATATTAACACTCATAATAAATATTAGTTATTTTATTTATTATGAGTATTTTATTTATTAAAATAAAGTTAACATTAATGATAATAAAATAAATATAAATAATTATTAATATATATATATATATATATATATATATATATATATGAAATTGTTCTATTATGACTTCACTAAAAGATAAAAAAAAACTGTAGTTAGAAGATTTTATTTTATTTTATTTTAAGCTGTTCTATTATGTGACTTATCTATTTATATATTTTTATTTTAAATTATTCAAATCGATAATTTTTGTTTTAAATTGTGCCATTTTAATGTTTTTTACTCATTTAATTTGATAAATAATAATTTTTTAAAAATTGTTCAAATGAAATATTAATAAAAATATGTTAAAGTAAATTTAAAAATATTATTTAATTATTTAAAATTATAATGATAATAAATCACTACTAAAAAATCATTAAATTTATGTGAATTTTTGTGCAAATTTTTTTTGATAAAAAATAGTTACAATTTTTTCTAAGAAAAATATTTCACAAAATTTATTACAAATTTATTTGTAAAATATTTTTTCCAGAAAATATGTAAAAATTAATGGTAAGAAATTCCAGCAAAATTTTCTTTAATTATATAATTATAATTTTATTTATTTTCAAATATACATTCGTATGAAATTTGGTAGGAATGAAAATTATTTTTTATATTTTTTTATAAATTAAATTTGTAAAAAAAGATTTAATAATATTTTAAAAAATGGTAGCAAAATTTAAAATAATTTTTTTAAAAAAAATTTAATTATTTTTATAGAAAAATAATAAAATATTTTATAATTTGTTACTTTAAAAATAATTAAAATATTAAGAAGTTATTAAAATATAAAATAAAAACAAAAACAAAAACAAAAACTGAAATTTATTTGTTTGTCTCTTTTCTTCCATTAATCAAGTATTCAGTTTTTTCTTCCTTCAATCACATTAACAATTCTTTTTACTTCCTCTGCATTGTCGATGCAATGACTTAAAATCGCAGATAAAAGACGAATAATATCACATAAATAATTCTAGCCTTAATCATCGAGTCTTAGATATTTTGGTTCTGTTTCACGCGACTTATTCAACTATCCAATGTATTTTATAACTTATTCTAATTATTGTTTTACTTTTTATTACTAATTTGAATGTTAGGGTTCGTCGATCTGAAATTGGGATTGATTTCTGTTACAGACAGAGGTCTGTTGAAGATTAGGAAAAAGAATTTTTAGGGCCTTCATTTAATGTAATTTGATTAACACTGCAACCTAGGATTTTCATTTCATATGATGTTTCTCATGTTTTGGGAATAATGCAGGCAGTGATTGAGATGTTGTTGAACTGCTACTTTGATTTTGGGTTGCGCTCACTGTGTCTGGGAAGTTCCAGTCCATAACAGGTAAATAAATTAATGCTAGAATAGATGTAACTGATTGTGAAATATCAACTCTTCTTTCTATCTAGTTACAAGTTATGCTCATACGAAACTAAATTGAGTGGAGTGCATGCGTTTCAACCAAAGGTAGCAACTAGATATTTAAGTGACTTCATGTGAAACAATAATTTAATCTATTGTTTATCTCATTACTTCAATTCATTCATCTTTTAATGTATTTTGTAATGTTAAAGTTTTATGAGTATAACATTTTGTTTAAATGTGTTTACTGTTAACGAGATTCTGAAAGAAATCTCTTTTTCCCTGCTTTAGATAACTTCCTTTAAGATAAATTTCTTAATTATTTTTATTTCATAGAGGTATTATTTTTAGCTACAGGAGGAAAATATACAAAAGAAGCACGTAATTTGATTATGGTGAAAGGTATTATTTTAGGCAATAATGTAGTATGTCATTTTTCAAAGGTTGCATGTTCTTCCAATCTTTATATCTTCTTTGTTTTTAATTGAGGGGAACATCAAACACTTATCATTTGATCCTAAACTGACACATGGTATAGCTTGTGAACATAGCTTAAGTTTGCATATTTGAATCTATCAGCATTAAAAATATGGAATTTGAAGAAAGAAAATTAACGGGATGAGGTAGATACATGGAAGAGTATATACTAATACCTTCTTTCCATTATTTTGTTTGGTCAAAATTTCTGACAAGACCCCGAACCTTGAGTTAACTTAAGCCGCAAGTGTATAGATCATCCAAAAATCAATTACAAAATAGAACAAAGTTAGGCCTTTCTCCATAGTAATAAGAAATTGGTTCTAATATATGATATAATGACCCTGGCCTCAAGGGGTCAAGAATTGTTTTATTTTGAGTGATATATTTCTCTTGGAATTTGCTTATTGATTTTTGTTGTATGGATTAGCCATTAGTTAGCTTTCTCCATATTCCTAATACCTCTTAACCTTTTAGATTTTGGTTTTTCTAAAGAGAGTAAGGATAGAAAAAATGATCTAAGTCATTGATAGAAAATCCACATATGCATCAATATCTAATTAATTTTTACCATGAGTTTCTCACTTATAATTTT